AACTGAAGAAGTTGAAACGGAACTGAACACCTTCTCAACCAAGGAAGCAGACGAAGCTGCCCGAACAGAACCCTCAGACAGAGGAGAATGAGCCACAGATTCGAGCGAAGGCTGTTTTCTTGCAACTGGTGAGATGGGAGGAGATGCCATTACGCCCATGAAAGGAGGATTAGCAGAGTCCAGAGGAGTCTTATGTTGCGCAGGATGAGGACAGCGAAGACGAAGATGGCCATACTCGTTGCAACTACCACACTTAGGAGGCAATTTTAAGAATTCCACTGGAAGAGAGACAGAGTTTCCCAGCTTGTCAACCACACGAACAAAAGAAGGCCGGGGTTTATCTAACTCTATAACAACCCGAAGCTTGATAACACCGGTTGAATAAGGCTTTACATCTGGGAATTCTGAGTGGACCGGAAAACCCACTGCTGAAGCCATAGTACTAAAACCGAGTGTGGACCATAATTCGAAGGGGACCTTTCTGAAGAGAACCCATATAGGAGCATGAACAAGTTTCATTTCCGTCAAATTGAGAGAAGGATGCCATAGCATAGTAGTGAAAGAACAGTTGCCGGAATGCCAAAGACCCACATCTAAAACCCATTGTCGAGTGGCTGAACATGGAATGAAGAGTAAAAGAGATCGCTTGGAATGGAGCTTAACCGAAATGTTGCCATTCTTTCCCCAAATAGGATTCAAGTCCGCAAAGACCTTCGCCGGAGATGGAGGACGACCATGAAAATAAGCTACCAGATGATCTTTCCAAATCGTAGAGGAGACAAGAGTTATAGAGTCTGGAGCTCGAATAGACGGAACCCCATCGGAAGTAATTGTTGGAGAAGCCACTTTCGCCAGCGGTTGATAGATTGCCTTAACCTTCGAAACCCAAGAGTCCACAACTTTCAACGGGGGCGAAATTGGAGACGAGGGGGTCAACGGAGCCTCCATCCCTGCTCCAGAAGGAGAAACCAGGGGCTGGCGCTCACCGTCAGGCGAGAACGAAGATGGAGGAAGGTTACCCACGAAATCTGACGAAGGGTGAAGGAAAAGTAGATCTGGGGGAACAGGTTCAGGTCGCAACACCGGAGCCAGAGACGAGGGCGACATCGGAGAGAGAGAGGGGTATTCTCGCCGGAGAGCGTGAGGCGGCTCCGACGGCGGTGACTCGAGTTGAAACCCTAATCACCTAAAGAGTCGCATGAGAGCGTGAGTATCCCTTGTTCATTCAATACCTTAGTAAGGATTTTCATCTAAGGAAGGCTCCGACGGCGGTGAGTATTCGACTTCTTTTGACTGCCTTTTCTTGCTTATTCTTATTGTGTTTTGTATGCTAAAGAGATCTTCCCTCGGATCATTATTTGAACCGATTCTCTTTACAATTATTGATATTATTTAGTTTGTATAAGGAACAAAAAGGTTATATTGGTTCTAGGGTTAATATATAGTTCTAAAACACATAATGTGTGTGTTTTTGTCAATGCATATGGAGCATCATAGACATGACCAGTCCCGAACCATGCTAAATGAAACATTTGGTACAAGTCTCGAAATTTTTGAAGAAAATTATATGGACATAAATCTCCAAAAAACATTTTTACATAAAAATAACCATATACATGCTTCTATAATTTCAGAGCCGCTCCTGATCATAAATTCATAATATGAACAACAAAAAGTAGTGGTTTAAGATGGAAATTTCTCTCAGAATATTTCTATACAAAAAATTCCAACGGCTACAGCAGCTTTTCCTAGTGTTGATAGATTTGAATAAGTTATGCTATAACTAGGGTTAAAGTTTTAAACAAAAAAAAACTAGGGTTAATATTAGGGTTAAAGTTACATATCAATAAAGGTACATATGTCAGTATCCAAGTAAAAACAAAATATAAGTTATATGTCAGTATCCAAGTAAAAAATTAGTAGGCTAATCATAAGAAAAGGATTATACGAATAAATTCTATAAATAAATAATGACCTTTCTTCTTTAATTTCTCTAACGACAGGAGGAGAAAGGTTTGTCTTTGTCGAACTAACAGAAAAGGCAAGCACCATTTTCTTGTTCACTCTCATGGACTCTTCAAAAGGCGTTCTCTCTTTACACCTGTGATACTTAAATCTAAGAGCATGACTAACTTTGAACCGAAGTTTTTAACTTATTATTTGACATTTTTTTATATTTTTGACTAAAAAATATCCTTTTAAAAGATGATTCTTACATTTTCTTATTAAAATCTAAGAAAATTAAAAATTATTTTTTATCGGAAACTAAAAATCCAAATTAAAAGACTGAAGTTAGTCATAGTCTAACCAAACTAAACCACGTGTTTATTCTTATGGGGCGATCATTCTACTTGGCTCAAGTGTTTGCCCATCTTATGGTTGGTATTTCATTAGGCTTGTTTTGATTTTAATTCTATTTAGAGTGGGTCTTATAAGAAAACAGTTGGGCTATTCTTGCCTCCTTTTGATATTAATCGAAACTTTTATTTTCTTGTAAAAACATTTAAGCGAATTTTTTATATAGACAACGAAAACAAAAAATATCACCAGAAATCTTTAATAGAATACAAATCAAAGAGGAAGCTAGTTCCCGACCACCTTCGTCTTTGCCTGGAGACAAAGAAGCTTCACTTTCTCCTTCAACCAAAACACATCATAGACAGCCGTTACATATAATCATACCATAGATCTCGCTGTCTTTAATTCAATTAAGAAATTTACTAGGTTTAACTAATAAGTAGCTAATGATAATTGCAATCATTTTATATTTATCTCCATACAAATATTTAATTTTTTTTCTATCAAATCGAAATATAGATGTTCTACTTCTACCTAACCGGAATTTCGTGGTGAAAATATAATTATCATAAGCCCTTTCACAAAAAAAAAAAATATATATATATATATATATAATTATTATACGTAAACCATGCTCAAGTTTTGGGAATCAAGATATTACGTACAATTGGTTGAATCACGTTCATGTATATAAAATCATCATAAATTTGTCTTGAGAATAACTTCAGATATCATCATATACAATTTTCTCACTTCCCCTTTAAAATGTTGAGTAAACGGCCGATTAGTATCTGAACTACGGTCATATTATCTGATCAATACCCAAACTATTTCACTGTGCGAATTTGTACCTGATCTAATACAAATTTTGAATTTAGTACCTGAACTATGTTCATATTGGATAATCAATATCCAAACTATTTTACTATGCGAATTTGTACCTGATCTAATAAAATTTTTGAATTTGGTACCTGAACTTATAAAATCTGACTTTTACATTCTGCTGAAGTGGACCGGTTTCTTGATGAATAGGTGTTGTCTCAAAAATAAGTTTTTTTTTTTAAAAAAATGAGCCCGCCTTGGTTCGACCCCGTTTCCGAACATATTCATCATAATTTCACTAATCGCTTATGTTGGATAAGATCCAAATGACCTTGGAATGGTGTCTCTGTTTATCACCACAATGTCTCAAATGATTCATCAAATCTCATATAACTAATCTTTTTTGTCACCACCATGTCTCAAATGATTCATCAAATCTCATATAATTAATCGTTATTTTGATGAAAACATTTGATGAGATTTGATGAAACGAGATTAAAAAATGATTATGAGTTCAAAACAAAAAGAGATTTGATGAATCATTTGAGACATGGTTGTGACGAACGGAGACACTATTCAAAGGTTATATAGTTGTTTCGGTACAACAAAACGACGAATATGTTCTAGCATAACCGGTTATTGTCATTATTATGTTTATGTTTGGGACCCGAGTTCGAATCAAATTGTCTTTTTTTTTTTTGAAACAACGTCAACTCATCAAGAAACCGGTTCACCTCAGTAGAATACCAACATGTTGTTAGCCATGTATGTAAAAGTCAGATTTTATAAGTTCATGTACAAAATTCAAAAATCTTATTAGATCAGGTACAAATTCGCACAGTGAAATAGTTTGGGTATTGATCAAACAATATGACCATAGTTCAGGTACTAAATTCAAAATCTGTATTAGATCAAGTACAAATTCGCACAGTAAAATAGTTTGGGTATTGATCAGACAATATGACCATAGTTCAGGTACTAATCGGCCATTTTCCCTTAAAATGTTCTCTTCATCTCAACTACATAAGATTAAAACTAGTGTTTTTTGCTTCTATTAATTTATTCATTGTGTAATTTTTATTTTCAAAGAGTTTTTACATTTAATTATAATTTTTCAAAACAATGATTTTGTTTACGAATTTATTTAAATAATTGTTCATGAAAACTAATTTACTGAGTAGTAATAAGATGAGATTCTAAAATTGTATAGCAAATTTCTGAATTCTCTTGATGATTGAGTATGTTTACCAAAAAAACTTATGAAGTACATACAATGTAGACTCTATCTTTTTGTAATGAATTGTTATTTTTTTTATAAACATTTTAAATTTCAGTTCACGTGTACAGCCGTATGATTCCCCGGCCAACCCGACAGCTCCATTGAAGAACACACACAAAAAATTAGTTATCATTTGAAAAACTTATACTAAAATCATTTTCCTGGCTAAATTTCAAGTGGAATCTACCCGATATTATCGGAAACCAGACACACGGAAATTTCCATATGACACACCACACGATCTCTAACAATTAAAATAAAACTAAGATGCTTCAAAAACTTGAAATATTGACCTATAAATAACCCATTAGCATAATTATCTCCAAGTAAACCAAGGAAGAAAAGAAAATCCAGATACTAATCAACCAACACCTAAAATGGCTACAAAACTTATAGTCCTAGGCTGCTTTCTAACGTACGCTTTTGCTATGGCAGCAGCATTGTCGGAAGGTGATCCCCCGGTAGCAAGGAAATTTGGTGGGGACGAATGGGCAAGAACGGAGGCTGAAGCACCGGAGATTTCACATTCAGAAGAGACTGTACGGCTAGGCCACCACCATTCTACGGTGGACAGATCGGTTGCCGGCGGAGGAGTTATTCTTGGCGGTTTAGCGACTACGTTTCTTGTGGTGGTGCTTTGTTATCTAAGGGCCACAAGGAAACATAAAACAAGTTATATTGAGGAGACTGAGACTCCTAAGGTTTTAGTTTCAGTTTAATTTTCTGTCAATAGTGTTTTTGATGTATATGTTTAATGTTCGTTTTATTTTTTTCATTTATATATAAAAAGAATTGTGCTAAAGAACACTAATGTGAGATCTAATTAAACAACTCTGCTTCCCAATGCACATAATTAAAATTGTGTACACACACAGTAAATAGATTTAAGAAAACATTAAAAATAGTCCTAAAGACATTTATACACACATATAAACAAAATTCAATATCAACAATGCTCATTTGAAAGGGAAACAATATACATGTACTCGTACAATTTAAAATTTCTGTAAAATAAAAACTAAGAAAAATCAAAAAGTGAAGAAAAACAGATCTTCTAAAATTTCCCCCTTCTAAAATTAAATTAAAACGCAGATTCAAGCATCAATGCAAAATAACCTATAAACAACGATGTGAACTTCAAGATTAACATCTTCTAGAAATTCGAATTTTTCTTGAATTATGTAAATTTGTAAATTATATATATTTTAAATCATAACAATGAAACTTTGTACATAATGAAGGAGCTCCAGCTGGAGTGTCCGCTCTTGGGTTCGAGTTTTGGTTACTGCATAATTTATATATGGACTGCAACATCCGGGATCGAAGACCGTTACACAGTGAGCCACCTGGTGATCTTTGGATCAATGTTCATTTCGATCTCTACTTAGAATATTCGATTAGCAAAAAAAACTTTGTACACGAGAATAAATCAGAGCTTATATAACCTTTTTTGTGCACTCGGAGCTTATATAACTTGGGGGAAGCAGACCTTATCAAACCAAAACAGTGGCCCACTTCAGTTGAGCAGGTTTCACAGTTCGTTTCGGTGTCTCAGCTTAATCAAGATGCGTATCCTAGTTTATTTTGAGGGTTTGGACCTTCCTCAGGGGTTTTAAAGTCGAAGATGTTAACTGGGCCTAGCTAGAGACGATGGCCTTTTCTAAAGAGTGCAGTTAGAATATAATCAAAATACTGTACCCGTTTCTTCTAAATGAATGAACGTAAATTGCATACGTAGTCACTAAAAATAGTAAGAACTTATCAAAATGTTAAAGATAACTTAAAATCAAAGTATTTAAAGTCCTTTACCAAAAGAGTTGAAATGGTCCTCAAACTTAGAGCACTTTCATCCATAACACCACTGGAGTCCTTAATAATATAATAATTGTATTTTCTTGTTGAATCGTTAAGAATATTAATCATAAATGTTCCTTCAATAGTGTTATCCATTATGAAATTCTTAGGAAAAAAATATTAAATTTTAAAACATGTAAAATTAAAATTTTTAGGAGAAAATGACTTAGAAAAACCTAAAAAAAATTTGTCACAAATATAGTTTATAAGGAAAAAATGACCAAAATAGATTTTATTAAAACGTATAAAAATACATTATACTCTTTGGGTTAACTAATCTAGATTTAAGGTTTAGAGTTATGAGATTTAGGGGTTAGGGTTTAAGTTTTACGGTTTATTTATTTTTTTAAATTAAAAATTTCAACAGTCGGACATTATCACGTCATTAATGATCAAGTCCTTAAATACCTTAGTTAAAGATTCTTCCTTAACTTATACAAATTAAATACTATCATTTAAATCTGATTTGCCTAAAAATATGTGCTAAGGATTTGGTTAAATTTTCCATTGCGGATGATCTTAACGGCATACCTTATGAATACATCATAGACGATGTTTATGGTAAGATCCCTATGCTTCTCAATTACAAACCTATCCATAAGAAAATCCAGCGACCTCAACCCCTCTATTATGAGTTTTCACTATCTGCAGGTCAATTGGTGACAGTTTATCCTGTGGGAATGCTGTTAAGAGATGATGACATGAGTTCGAGTCTCACCAACAACCTAACTATGGAATTAGTAAAAATTCATAATGGAGAGATTGAGATCAATACTCTTCAGGGTCAGCCTGGCGACCATGGAACGGATAGTTCTCACAGGACAGGTTGTTACAGCCTCGTCAATATATGTATCTCTGGAGATTGTTGAATACATTGAATATACATGGAAGAAAAGTCTCCCAATCTTGCCTCACGATCCTTATGAACGTTCTGTAGCCCGTTTGTGGGCTAGGATGAGAAGGTACACACTACACTACATACATGTAGGTATATATGGGATTTCTCTAGTAAAATAATTCATGCCTTGGAAGTAGATTCGTTATTGCCATACAAGTTATAAACGAGTGCTTCGGCATTCTAGAGCAAACAAAATGAATTACTTGCGAACTTTTTTTTTCTACCCTCCTTGCTTCTATCGTAGTTCCTATTTCCTAATGATGACCAATGCTCTTGTTTTTTCGTTTTGGTTGTGTTTGAAAGTAGTTGATTATTTTGTGTTTTTTGAAACTCACTTAACTACTTGCAAATCTCATGCTCTCTCTCTCATGTCATGTGACCATGCGTAACATAAGCTGCAAAAGCGTCATAAAGGCGTTAGTCAAACCACGACCTATATTTCCACGATCATAAATGTTTTTAAAACCTCGCAGAGAATTTTTTTGGGGTAAACACTTTCAAGAGATATTTTATTTGACTTTTAGCGCTTAAAGATACTAATTCACGATTTGGATTTTCAACTTAAACCAAGGCTGTTGTAGTGTGCTGGTAGATCCGAAGGACAATTCAACTCGTAAGAATTTGGTTAGTCAAAAAGTTCGCTAATTAATCACATATAATGCCTTTTTATTGAATTTTTGAAAGTCTGGCATTCACATATACAAGTCTAAAATAAAGTATTTTGACATTAATTCTCTGTTTTAGTTTTAAAAAGCCGATAAAAGATTAACGGGATGTTGGCTTGCTGTTCGATCTACCCAGTGCCTATCATGTGCTCAGAACGTATTTGCACTATGTCATTTCTTTTTGACAAGTTCTTTCTACAAATTAGGGTCTTAATTTGTTATAAAAACATATAGACTAGCTAGGATATATTCAGATTTACAATAGTGTTTTCTCAATAGAAAAAATCTATCCTTGCGCAAGGTTATAAATGATTGAGCGGCAGCCGGACTTGAATCTCTGAGTATTGAAAGAAACAATAATATGTTTGATTGAGATGTAAGTCATCATGTTCATATGCCAATCTCTCGCGATAGTGACCAGCAACCCATAATATATTATACGTTTTATGATTACGTTTATTTTGTGAATTAAACAAATATAATTGTATAACTTGAGCATTCAGCATTTTTATAGCTCATTGTCCCCACTCCTCATGTAGTGAATTTAGTAACGATTATATTACTATAGATGGAAGCTTTGATTTTTAGAGTTCCAAAACGATTTATTCAGTATTGCATATTTTAATATTGTTGCTCTCGTTAAACACGAGAAATATTATATGATCTCAAGTTTGAAAATGAAAATCAAATGAACCCATATCGTCTGTATTATTGATATTATCGTATAAAAAATCGGAAGCAGGTGTAACCGTATTAATATGTGATATATATATATATATATATATATATATATATATATATATATATATATATATATATCCTTTATATATTAATCATGGACTATTATAACTTTTAAGTGTAGTCACATATCATCAATAAGATGATTCTCTAAATCTTTAGAAAAATTGATTGATCCGTTTAAATATAAATTATATTTTTTATTAAATTAATTATCCAATTGATTAGTAATGCATAAACGAATATTCTCTATTATTTTCTTAAATAAAAGGTACATAATTATTTAACATGATTACTATATTTATGAAAATTAATGATTTTTAATAATAAAGATTTGATAATAATTTTGTTCCATCATTATATTTGTTTAGTTTATATTTTATTAACAAGTTACATTAACCATATAATAAAAATAATTTTTTTCTTATATTTTATATTTTTTTAAATGACTATAAATTACTAAAAATTGTGAAAAATCTTACAATGAAAATTCTGTGAACAATGATTTTACGTTTTTTGTTATCAAAAGATATAAATGATCATAAAATCAATATTCAAATTATATATATGTATATGTGTAATTATAATAGTCTAGTCGTATATATATTGTAAATATATTCTGATGTATATTTAATAGAAAGAAAGAAAATATTTGTCAAAAGAAAGAATATATATATATATATATATATATATATAGTGATTTGCAAAACCGAATATTTAAGAAAGATTTTACTATGGTTATAGGTTTAAAAAACAAATAACAGCTTGATTGCTTTATTTTTGAATGAAATGAGGTTTTTTTTTTTTGACAACAACGAAATGAGGTTTTGCACAGCATCTATAGCACTTACCAATTACCCTCATTTATATTTTTTCTCTAGAGTGACTATATAACGAAGTCTATTTTAGCTTAGTGGTATCAATTTTTTGGGCATTAAAATGTATATGTGTAACAAGCTATTGTTAATGTCAAGGTGAACTTAACCTGTTTGAAAACAATTCTGTGAAATAAAACGATACATTTTATTGACAATTTTTTTTATTATATGTTTGAAGTTGTAATAATTTTAAAATTGCCTGGAGATTTTATTTTTAAGTGTGATCTGTAGAATTATATCAATTCGAATAGATTAGAGGTTCTCCAAATTGACTTGCAATAGTATTGTGAAGGGACAAAAAGAAAGACAATATCACAATAATATAGTATAGGCTAATATCAATATCCATGCATGTGGAAATTAAGATATTATCGAAGAGGATCCGGATCTGTACAGTTCAAATTGGCAGATGAGGCCTAGTTGGGATATTAAAAATGTATAAAAAATAGGTCAGCTAGTGAATCAAAATCTCTATATAAGAGCTCGACTTAGATGTACAAAAAGACCATCCAAAACTTTCACTTAAGAAAACATAGAAAACAAAAGCTAAAATTTAAAAATGGCTTTGCATAAGTTTCCTCTCACGTGGCTACTAATGCTCCTAACCATCGTCGTCTCTCCAGCAACAGCCGATGGACCTGTTTGCCCGCCGTCCACCAAACTAAGCCGGACAAGCTTCCCTGAAGGCTTTTTGTTTGGCACGGCCACTGCAGCGTATCAGGTTTATATACAAAATTCTTGAGATTTTTATATTGTCCATAATTAGGTTATATCACACATAAATACGGGTATGTTATTAAGAATCTAAAAAGGTAATTTTCATATAGACAAAATAAAAAATATTTGTATAGACTGAATGGTGAATCCATACTTATCATTTCTAAAGCCTCGTACAGAAAACTACACTATTTATAAAGTATTCAAAGTAAGTATCATGGTAACTTTGATAAAAAAAAAGTATCATGGTAACTTTTTTGATCAGGTAACTTACAAAGAAAGAAAAAAAAGACCAAAACTATTCACTTTCAGTGACAATGTTATCTATGTTCTGTAGTTTTTTTGGGACAATTCTATAGTTTTTCTATAATATTTTTTACGTCGGACCATTTTACGTATGGAACATTTTAACAAGATTTGGAGGAAAATAATATATTACATCATGAAACACCAGTATTATATATTGTATAAAGCAAATCAATTAACCTATGTTTTATATTATTTCCTAAACACAAATTATTCTTGCTATGTGATTAGGTGGAAGGTGCAGTGAATGAAACTTGTCGTGGACCGGCCTTATGGGATATCTACTGTGCAAGATATCCAGGTAAGTGTCTCTAGACTCTCTAATATATTTTTATATCTTTTTAACTAGCTAATATCTAAGATCATATTTTTTACCAAAAAAAAAAAAAATCTAAGATCATTTATTATGAATTACAGCCAGATGTAACAACGACAACGGCACTGTGGCCGTTGATTTCTTCCATCGTTATAAGGTAGAAAAAATAGTATAAATTGAACAAATTAATTATTCTTTTTAATAATCCCTTATTCATACTAGGTGTTGATAATTTGTCTTGGCTGAAAAAATGTTTATAGGAAGATATTCAACTAATGAAGAATCTAAACACAGACGCCTTCAGAATGTCTATCGCGTGGCCAAGAATATTTCCTCGTGAGTATAACTGCTTCCGGCTACTAATTTAATTTAGTGTTAGTCAAATTTAACGTGGATGTTAATGAAACTAATAATGTTTTATCAGATGGGAGAAAGGAGAAGGGAGTGTGTCAAGCTGGTGTGAAATTCTACCATGATCTCATCGATGAGCTCCTTAGAAATGGTACAATTCATATATATATACATATAAATTCGCATATATTTTTTAGCAAAAAAATAGACAAACTAAAGTTACAAAAAAATAATCAAACAAACTATTCACATATTACGGCTGTAACACTTAATGTAATCTCTTTCTTTCTTTTGAATACTGTGATTAGGTATAACCCCGTTCGTGACCGTTTTTCATTGGGACACTCCACAAGATCTTGAGGATGAATATGGCGGTTTCTTAAGCGAAAGAATAGTGTAAGTTTTATGTATATTACATCACATAGTAGCAACCACTGCACAACGTTATAAATTAATACAATTTTACAAAAAAAAAAAATGTAGGAAAGATTTCCGGGAATATGCAGATTTTGTTTTCCAAGAATATGGTGGAAAAGTGAAACACTGGATCACTTTCAACGAGCCATGGGTTTTCTCGCATGCTGGCTATGATGTTGGCAAGAAAGCACCAGGACGTTGCTCTAAGTACGTCAAAGAAGAATGTCAAGATGGACGATCAGGATACGAGGCTTACCTAGTCACTCACAATCTCCTTAACTCTCACGCAGAAGCCGTTGAAGCTTTCCGACAATGTGAAAAAGTATGATATAAGACCATCGTTAACTCCAGTTTCTTAACTTCGGCTAAAATACGGTTCTTAGTTTTTCTAAAATTTTAATTAAGAAAAGCTAAAAACAGTCTCTTAAATAAGAGATATAAAAATCATATTTTAGCCAAAAAATTGTTTAAAAAAAACTATCAAATCATAAATTAAAAATTCTGGATAAGAGACAGGAGTTAATCACGCTCTAAGCTACTTCATAATTAATTTATCTCCAAACAGATATAAATAGTTTGTTTTGTGTTGTTTTTAATGGCCACAGTGTAAAGGTGGTAAGATTGGTATCGCACATAGTCCGGCATGGTTTGAACCACATGACCTTGCTGATTCACAGGACGGTGCTTCCATAGACCGTGCACTTGACTTTATTTTGGGATGGTAAGTAGTAAATATAGTAGGACCATGATATTATACTTAATTATATTGTTATTTGTTTATGATATATATTTGATTACTTTTTTCTAGGCATCTAGACACAACTATGCATGGAGATTATCCACAAATCATGAAAGACATTGTTGGACATAGATTACCTAAATTCACTGCTGCACAAAAAGCAAAACTGAAAAACTCAGCTGATTTCGTTGGACTCAACTATTATACTTCAGTGTTTTCAAACCATTTGGAGAAGCCAGATCCTTCTAAACCAAGATGGATGCAAGATTCTCTTATTAATTGGGAAAGTAAGTTTATCGTTAGCCCTTACTTGAATTCAAAATCAAGAAAACCAATGCCACAGATCAAATGGTTATTTCCGATGAAATTCCGACAACATTTTGTCAATATCTCACTATATCTTTCCTGTAGTGCTGGTACTAATCAAAATGTATCTTAATTATTTTCAGATAAGAATGCTCACAACTTCAGCATTGGTAGCAAGGTAAGCGTTTTAATAATAAAGTTTCAGCTAAATGTTACACTCTTTTTACTTATAAAGTAACACTTTCGTCTATGTGGCATTTCAGCCATTCACCGCTGCACTTCCCGTTTATGCGAGAGGCTTTAGAAGTCTTTTGAAGTACATCAAGGATAAGTACGCAAACCCTGAGATTATGATCATGGAAAACGGTAACTAGAGATTATAGTATTACATGTTAGCTAGTTTTTTTTTTTTTCTGATTAAGTCTTACAAAATATATTGATCTTCATGTTTATTTTCTAGGATATGGAGAAGAGCTTGGGGCTACAGATTCGGTTGAAGTTGGTACTGCTGATCATAATAGGAAATATTATATTCAGAGGCATCTTTTGAGTCTGAATGAAGCTATTTGGTAAGTCTTTCATTCATATGATAAAACATAACAACTGTTCTTGATGAATCTAATAAAAACCATTTGTAATAATAATACTACATGCAGCATCGACAAGGTGAATGTTACTGGATACTTTGTATGGTCACTGATGGATAACTTTGAGTGGCAAGATGGTTACAAGAACAGATTTGGACTGTATTACATTGACTTCAAGAATAACCTTACACGCCATGTTAAAGAATCGGGCAAGTATTACAAAGAGTTCCTAAGTCAAGGTGTTCGTCCATCCACGATCAAAAGGGATGAACTTTGAGCTACTGGTTGAGGATTTGGTTGTCTGTTTCAAGGTTTCTTTCTTATGTTTCCGTTTGTGATTTGACCAAGAGCAATGAAGTCTTGGTTATAATAAGAGAGTATCTTTTTTTCCATTTCACAATGCCTTCATAAAACCGAACCAAACTAACCAAAATCTAAACCAAACAGCAGAAATAACTGAATTTAACCAATTTTTTTTTTTAGTTTTAACCGATTTAAACAGAAATTTGACCAAATTCATAAACTTTGGTTAAGTTCTGTGAAAAAAAATTGAAATCGAACTGACAGAACTTTTGTCGGTGAGATTTTGGCTAAACCGAACCGAAAAACCTGAACTAACCAAATACGCATGCCTAATTTGCTGTCTTTGATTAGATAAAAAAAATTGTTGCACCTACAAAAAAAAACAAGATAGAACTCAAACAAATTACAGACACAACAACATCAAAGGTACCATTTTGTCTGGTTCTTGAATCAAATATCAACAGGAGAAGCATGGTGAATGCACATAAACCATTGTCCATCGATCTTTTCAAACACATTAGACACAAACTGAGCTCCCCAGCTACTACTCCCTTTAGTCTTCACAAACTCCATACACGTCACATAACCTACTTCACCTCGGACATAAACCTCAACATCTTTCAGCTCAATCAGCAAAGGAAACTCGTAGTCCATCCACACAACTTCCCAGCTCTCCATCACAGCATCATACCCTGTTATGCCCTTAGCTTCTGGATGGACACAACAGGGGTTTCCTGATCTGGACCATAAAGATTCCATCTCAGCTAAATCACCGTTTCTGAAAGCTTGGTAGAACCGAGTGTTGGCAGACAAAACAGAGGCTTTGTTGTCTTCTTGAAGCTCTTTTAGTATGTCCCGGATCTTAGCTGCCTCCATGTAGTTTTCTTCATGTATCGCAGCCTTGAGATCTTGCTTCAACATGTTCTCATCTACTGGTATGCTTTCAATATTCGCTGTTTGGTTACTGTCTTCTCGTTTGACTCGACATGGGCTTAGACGAGACCCTGCTTCCAAATAGATAACACACTAACATCAACAGGATCTTGCTATAATATAAAAAAAAAAACTAAAAGTTGACCAAAAAGCTTGTAAGAGTAAAACTCAGAACGAACCTTTATTGTGCAGCTTGAGAGGAGTAAACCCGAATGTATTGTTGCCTGAAGCAATGTTGCAGTGTATGGGATAAGACTTAGGCAAGTGAAGTAGCTTTGAGGAACCACCAAACAGAGAAGTGATCTCTACTGTGTTTGAAACCTATAAGAGAATTAATCAAACGAAAAGTCATCAAAGATGCTAAAGTTTGGATCTTTAAGAAGACACTGCATCTGTAGGTTTAAAATTAAATACTTTCTGATGTAAAACAAGCTAAAATGTCGATCTGAATATTATCTAGGGTTTAAATCTTATTACAGGACCTAAGCCGTACGAGTTCTCACACCAAACAAGATCACAATTCATAATAACGCTGCACATGAACATAAAGCATCAACTTTTCAAGATTATATACGAAATGTCTTTCAACGAGAGAGATTCTAGCTTACTTTGCATAAAGATATAGACCCATGAAGCGCCATGGAAGAAGAATCGAAACCAGAATAAGATCACAATCAGAGTTTCGAATAGAGGATGAAGGATGAAAGCTCAAGAGAGACACTTTAGAATTCAAGATAAATCTGATGGGCTTTGCATCAGAGTCCACACTTAAACTTGTAATGGGCCTATATTTATAACTTTAGGCCCAATAACTTGCGTCGTGTAGAACTCATGTTCTTTTAGTACTGGAATACAAGCTTCTTTTTTTTTTTTTATCAACAATCTATTTCCCTTAAAAAATATTGTATTGCACCAAATATCCATGGAACTATGAATCCGTTTTATTTATCTCCGAGAATAAAGTTGGAAATATATCTCCCCACCAAATAAAAATTATATCGATATTTCTCCACAATTATAGAGATCGAAATCTTAAAAACCCATAAAATTAAATTTTATTGGTTTACTGTATGTAAACAAAACGTAAAACATGTTAAACCAATGACTAACCGGATTAAGATTCAATCAGTCGAATATTTTTAAGTTTGAATGTTGGATCGAGTTATTGTTATGATCCAGATCAGGGTTTAGTCGGGTTTTTAATTTTGTCTTAATTAAGTTTTCCACGATTTTATTATATGATAATGGAGATTTGAAATTCGGATTTCAGAAATCATAATTAAACCAAATTTGGTGGGAAAATAGGTTGCGAACTTTATTTTCGGGAGTAAATAGAACAAGGTCATAGTTTCGTAGACATTTGATGATATACGATACTTCTCGTGGAGAAATAAATGGTCGACCCATTTTTTATGTCTGCTTTTGTAACATTGTTGTTGTCTCATTTGTGGATTATACAGTTGATGCTATATTGCGAATCATAATTGACTAAATTATCTATTTTTATTTAGTAGTTTTAGGTCCAAAAACTTTGGGATTATGTCTATTTTGTGGCAAAGTAATAAACAAAAGAATAATTACCGTCTTATACAATTTCAATTTAGATGCAGTAATAATTTCAAGTTTGTAAGTCAACACATAGATTTTGTGCCATTTTCTTTAAGAAAAAGGCAAGATCCATGTAGTTTTTTTTTTTTTTTTCTAGTATGTACGAGCGTCCCATTATGAAGACTATGTTTTTTTGCCAGTCATGAACAAAATATACGAACACGATTATTTGATATCGATATGTTTACAAAAGTACAGTATGGATGATAGATGATTATGATATATGGATATTGCATTCCCAATCTCGTAAAGCTGTAGTAGAACCTACGAAAATAAATTGTTTTTATGAGAATTTCTTCTGTTTATAATTAAATTTTAAAACTAAGCGATGATCCATCTGAAATTGAAAACGAAGGTCAACAAATATGTTCTTTTTTTTTGCCAGTCATGAGAAAACTGAAATTCTTTATAATATAGCAAGATCCTGTTTGACATTTTTCATATCTTAAGATCTTTTTAAAAAATTATAAATCTACGTTGATCTTTTCAGAAGTAGTACTAAAATATATGATATAACAAAAAAAAATATATTAGTGTTGTATCTTTTTAAAAGCTATATATTCCCAGAGACACGCGGGAGTTTCACCAAGCGCACTTCAAAATTTTAAAAGAATAGATTCTCGTCGACGTCTTCGTCGTCTTTTCTCTATTGCTGGCGATGGGTTGCGTTTGCTTTAAACCTTTGCATCCTGCGCCATCTTCCTCTATTAAACCCACCCTCATCCACGACGAACGAGGTAATTAATCTCCTATTATGCGTTTAATCCTGAAAAAGACAAGATGATCGAGAAACTAACTGTTTTTTTTCCTCAGACGATGACAACGATGGAAGCTCATGTCCTAGTTTCCGTGAGTTCAGTTTGGAACAGTTGAGAGTTGCTACCGACGGATTCTCAGCCGAAAACATCGTGTCGGAGCAAAATGAGAGGGCTCCTAACATTGTCTACAAAGGGAGGCTCAACGACGGCAGAAAGATCGCCGTGAAGCGGTTTCAGAGGCTTTCTTGGCCTGATTCTTCCAAGTTTATCGTTCGTTCTTTAACCTATCTATAGTTACTTTTTAATTATTTTTATTCTTATGGTCCACATCATTAGTGGGAAGACATTCCAAACTCGGATCAGACATTATGGTAAACAGTCTACTTTGTAGCATTAAGTGAAAAGCATTCCTTTGAGGCTGATCGGATCAGCCGATATGATATATAGAAAAAAAAATTATCTGGTGCTTAAGGCTTCAGAGTCTCACATGGCCCGGTTATGAAATTTTGGGACCTGAAGCAATTACGGACTAATAATAGAATGATATATCTATATATGTATTTGATGGTTTGGCCTGAATGAAACGATACATATTATCAAGTTACTAAAATTTGGGAAGCAAGGCGAATTTTTTGTCCCTGGAGTCTCTTAATTAGTCTTTGGCTTCATTTCTACCCCATTGTACTTGACTTTCCGAATGTGGAAATGTTATAGTTTCTGATCTATTTTGCATGGGGACTTGGTATAGGACTGAGATTAGATGCTAGCTTGATCTGTAGCAGAGCTGAGTTTATTGAATATAGCTTTGTTTTTTTTTTCCTACAGGAAGAAGCACAAAAGGTGGGGAGATGTAGGAGTGAGTATCTGGCCAATTTGATCGGTTGTTGCTCAAAGGGTCAAGAGAGGCTTCTAGTTGCAGAGTATATGCCCAATGGAACACTTGCAAAGCATCTCTTCCACTGTAAGAGAGAGAGTCCACCATTTTTCACAGTTCTTCATCTTCTTGTTAACTTTACCATAAGAGTTTCATTTGTTAAAATGTTTTTTTTGTCAGGGGAGAAACGACCAATGAAATGGGAAATGAGGCTACAGGTTGCGTTACATACAGCGAGAGCCTTGGAGTATTGTAATGATAGGGGACTACACTTGTACCATGATCTTAACACCTACAGAATACTGTTCGATAAGGTTTTAAAGAATCATCACTTCATTGCTCGGTTTTGTATAACTGTAAATATCAGTATCATAACTCATGCAAGTGTTGGAACAGGTTGGGAATCCAAGGCTGTCTTGCTTCGGTCTCATGAAGAGTAACAGAGAGGGTAAAAGCTACAGCACGAACTTGGCATTTGCTCCTCCCGAGTATATGCGTCAAGGTATGTGCTTTTCTTTCTATGATTGTCACCTAACCACTTCTAAACTCATTCAGCTGAACTATCATCAACTTTATGTGTAACTTTGCTAGGTATTGTGATACCTCAGAGTGTCATATTCAGCTTTGGGAATTTGTTACTAGATCTTATGAGTGGCAGACATATCCCACCAAACCATGTAAGTGAACTAGTTCTTTGTTGAGTACACTGTGATAAGTGATCCTGATATACTATTTTATTGCTATGCATATCTTGAGCAGTCTCATTGATTTTAGCTTATCTGTAATTCAAGGCACTTGATATGTTCCGTGGCAAAAACTATTTGGTGCTAATGGATTCAGCTTTAGATGGCCAGTACTCTGATGAGGATAGGACAGAACTAATCTACATAGCTACCCGCTGTTTGCGTTTTGAGCCAGACGAGAGACCATGCATAAAGTTGCTTATGTTGGCTCTTTCAAGACTTGAAAAAGGAGCTGAGTTATTTCCAAACATCAAAGTAGACAAAAACCCTGTAAGTGTTTCTTCAAAGGTTTTTGAGATTTTTTTTTAAGTCTTTCCAATGTATTCATGAGACTTAACAATGTCAGACTCTACCATACACTAAACCAACAACAAATAAGAAGCAATTGCGCTTGAGCCCTTTTGGAGAAGCATGCTGGAGAATGGATCTTAGTGTCATACACGATATGCTAGAGAAACTCGGATATGGAGAGGATGTTGGTGTGGTCACAAATGAGGTATAAATATCTTTGTGTGACACATAATCTCTTGATACCTCTCAGTATCTCATTTTGAGGATGTTAAACAAATATATTGCAGTTCTCATTTGAAATGTGGATGGGTCGAGTGCAAGAGAATACGGATTACAAGAAGCATGGAGATGCTGCATTTCGTGCTAAAGATTTTGACTCGGCAATAGAATTCTACACAGAGGTATCATTTAAAATCATCAAAATACCTTATTGTATACATTATTTATAAAGATGTGGCATTTTTGTATGAACAGTTTTTGAGCGGAGCAACAGTGGTATCACCAACAGTTTTAACAAGACGGTGTCTATGTTACCTAATGAGCGATATGTTCAGTGAGGCTCTAACCGATGCGATGCAAGCTCAGGTTGCATCGCCAGAGTGTTCAACCGCTCTCTACTTACAAGCGGCATGTTTACTAAAGCTTAGGATGGTAGCTGAAGCTAAAGAAGCACTTAGACATGGCTCTTCTCTCGAAGCTTTTTAGAGTTACAACAACAGCAACAAAATCAAGATTAGTACAGCTTCATGAAGCTTACTTTGCATAAAGATCCAGACACATGAAGGGCCATGGAAAGAACGAATTGAAGAGATGATGATCAAATCTCATTCAGGAAGAAAACTCAAGAGACCCTTTTGAGTTCAGGATAACGCTAATGCAAAGCCCAAGCTTAAACTTGTAACTAGGTCTTCATTTGTAACTTTAGACCCAGTAACATGATCATTGTTTAAGTTTAGTATTAGTTAGTGTTGTACATGTATTCAATGTATGAGTTTGCTCCAAGACTTTTGGGTCATACTCATATATATATGTTCGTGGCTATGTAATATACGAAAGAAAAAGAGAATTACCGTCTTCTGGAATTTCGTGTTTGTAAGTCAACTCATAGAGTTTGTGGGATTTCTTTTTTTTTTGTAAAATAAAACCTACAGGCTAGATTATTATTATTATTTTTTGAACACACCTACAGGCTAGATAGGTGTTTTTTTCGACGAGATTCATGTAGCCTTTTTTATTTCATCAAGATCCATGTAGTTTTTTTTTTTTTTTAATATCTATATGAAGTTTTGTGTAATGTTATTTGTTTTAGTATATAGTTTACATAAACGAGCGTCCCATTATGCAGACTAAAGTTTCTAGATGGAATAATGTCATCTTGAGCAGTACAGTGTGGAGGATGAATTAGGACTGGTGGATGGATGCTACACTCCCAAATTGGAAAAGCTGTGGTAGAACTTAGAAAAATAAATTGTTTTGTTTTGATCAGAGGATTAGTCGGTTGGTAACAGCTGCCGGATTACCTCCTAATTATTCAAAAAAGTTGTTTTTGTGAGATTTTTTTCTATTTTTAGCTTTTTTTGTGACATCTTTTTGTTTATAATTAAATTATAACTCTAAGTGATTATCCATTTGAGAATAAAATAAGACGAAACTCAACAATTTTTTTTACTTTTGTAACTGGAAACTCAACAATTATAATTTATAAGTAATGTTTCATGCTCAAATGAATATAGATTGTATGGAACACAGCAAGACCTTGTTGACATTATTTTCATATATATTTGATAGTTTGAAACTGCGTTGATTTTTTCAAAAAATTGTCTTATATTGTTCATCAACTATATAATTTAATTATATAAAATAAATTTTAAATGTTCCACCACCAAAAAAAAAATTATTTATCCAGCTTGAGTAATTGCGCGCGGGAGTTCACGAAGCGCACATCAAAGTTTTTTTTTAAACAAAAAGAATTAAACTATCGTCTGTCTCTTTCTCCATTGCCGGCGATGGGTTGCATTTGCTCCAAAACTTGGCGTCGCTCTCCATCTCCGTCTATTAAACCCACCCTCATCGAGGACGACGACGAAGAAGATGATGAGGAAACAGCTGAGAATCGCTCATGTCCTAGATTCGCGGTATTCAGCTTGGAGCAGCTGAGAGTCGCTACTGACGGATTCTCTGCCGGGAACATCGTTTCGGAGTACAACGAGAGGGTTCCTAACATCGTATACAAAGGGAGGCTGATAGGTGGTCGAAAGATCGCAGTAAAGCGGTTTCGGAAGCTTTCTTGGCCTGATTCTTCCATGTTTATCGTTCGTCCTTTAACTATCCATATACTGTTTCATTTTAGAGTAACCGGGCCGATCCTGAGATTTTCGGATTAAGAGCCGAATGATCTACACATAAATGTTTTGGATGGTTTGGAGCCGGATGATCTATTCATATAAATATCTCAAATTTAGTACTAAGACGAATGTTTTGTTCGGCTGTCCCCAGGACCGGCCTTATAATTTTAGTCTAGGTTTTGACTATGCATAAGATTTATCTGGTGATTTTAAGGGTTAGAGTCTCTGGTCAGTTTTGAGATTTATGGGGTCCGAAATAGTTACTGATTAATAGCAGGATGATTTACACATGTTTGTGACAAAAGAAAGAAGATTTACACATGTATATGTTTTAGATGGTTCGTGGCTGTCTGTTGGACTGGCCTTGGAGTCTTAGTCTTGGCTTCAATTTTTCCACATTGATATTAAGTATATAAAATTTAGGGACAAAAGCTGATGTTTTATTCGGCTGTCCCCAGGACCGCCCTTAGAGTCTTCACTCCGAGAAACCTCTCTTGAATGTGGCATTGTTCTAGGTTCTGATCTTTGTTGCATGGGGACTTGGTAGAGACTGAGGTTAGGTGCTAGCTTAAGCTGTAACACAACTGAGTTTATTGAATATGGCTTTTTTTTTTTCTTTTTTCAGGAAGAAGCACAAAAAGTGGGGAGGTGTAGGAGTGAGTATATGGCAAACCTGATTGGTTGTTGCTCAGAGGGTCATGAGAGGCTTCTAGTTGCTGAGTACATGCCTAATGGAACACTTGCAAAGCATCTCTTCCACTGTGAGAGAGTCAACCATTTTCTTACAGTTCCTCATCTCCATAAGGAGAGTTTCATTTGTGTCTAATAAACATTTTTGGCTCTTAAAATGGTTTATGCAGGGGAGAAACGACCAATGAAATGGGAAATGAGGCTACAGGTTGCGTTGCATACTGCGAGAGCCTTGGACTACTGTAATGATAAGGGAATAGACTTGTACCATGATCTTAACACCTACAGAATACTGTTAGATAAGGTCTAAATACTTTTTGCTTCATTTCTCTGGTTTTTAAAAACTGTGATCATTACCGTAACTTACTTGGAACAGGATTGGAATCCAAGATTGTCTTGCTTCGGTCTCATGAAGAGTAGTAGAGAAGGGAAGAACTACAGCACGAACTTAGCATTTGCTCCTCCTGAATATTTGCATTTAGGTCTGTGCTTTTTTACTGAATTGTTCTGTCACACAAACACTCTTATCAAACTGTGAACTTTTGTTAGGTACTTTGGTACCAGAGAGTGTCATATTCAGCTTTGGGACTTTGTTACTGGATCTTATGAGTGGCAAACATATTCCACCAAACCATGTAACCTTCTTCTCACTAAGCAAAATCTTTGTTGGTTCTTTGTTACTATGCAACAATGTTATCTTGAGCAGTATTGTTGATTTTTAGCTTTTATCTGTAATTCCAGGCACTTGATCTATTCCGTGGCAAAAACTACTTGGTGCTAATGGATTCAGCTCTGGATGGTCAGTACTCTGATGAGGATAGAACAGAACTCATCCACCTAGCTACCCGCTGTTTGCGTTTTGAACCAGACCAAAGACCATGCATGAAGTTTCTTGTCTTAGCTCTTTCAAGACTTGACAAACGAGCTGATTCAGAGCCAAACGTCAAAGGAGAAAAAACTCAAGTAAGTGGTGATCATTAACTACATTGATTCTTTCAGATTTTTCTAATGTATTCATGAGAGTTAGTAATGACAGGCTCTATCGTATACTAAACATGCAATAAAGAAGAAGCCATTGCGCTTGACCGCTTTTGGAGAAGCGTGCTGGAGAGTGGATCTAAATATTATACACGAACTACTAGAGAAACTAGGATATGAAGAGGATGATGTGGTGATCACACATGAGGTATGTATATATCTTTGTGAGACACATAATCTCTTGATGCCTCTCAGTATCTCATTCTGAGGATGTTAAACAAATATATTGCAGTTCTCATTTGAAATGTGGATGGGTAGTGTGCAAGAGAATACGGATTACAAGAAGCATGGAGATGCTGCATTTCGTGCTAAAGATTTTGACGCTGCAATAGAATTCTACACAGAGGTATCATTTTAAATCATCGAGAAACTTTAATTGTATACATTGTTTACAAAGATATGACATTCTTGTATGAACAGTTCTTGAGTGGAGCATCAGTGTTATCACCAACAGTTTTAACCAGAAGGTCATTTTGTTACCTAATGAGCGATATGTTCAGTGAGGCTCTAACCGATGCGATGCAAGCTCAGGTTGCATCTCCAGAGTGTTCAACTGCTCTCTACTTACAAGCAGCTTGTCTCTTAAAGCTTGGGATGGAAGCTGAAGCTCAAGAAGCACTTAGACATGGCTCTTCTCTCGAAGCTTTTTAGAGTTATTACAACAACAACAAAACCATGATTAGTACATCTTCTTTCTCTCAATACACACATAGCATATATACTTTCTTTGGCTTCGTTTGAGAGAATCTTGATGTACCATCAAAATTTTGTGTGCTAAACCAAGAGTGTGTTTCGTCTTCTTATTACACACCCACACTAGTTAAACTCTAGTTAGTAGTGTTTTGATATTAAGCATCATTGTAAGGCTTGTTGTGAAGCCATGTTTATAAAGGTGGGAGAACCATCATGATACACGCCACACAAGTCAGATCAAACTTGAAAAGACTCAATTTCATAACTATATTTCTACTAAATTACATCACAACAACAAAAAAAAGTATAGAATTCCAAAGAAAAATGTAAGTCACTATGTATCTGTTCTACCATTTGTAAGTCACAAGTTAGAGTATTCCAAAACAATGATCTCGATGTCCTCTTGAGCCTTGAGGTCTTAATCGACCAGCTGCTTCTTCCATCGCCCTCACGCTACTACTCTCTAAACCGCTTCTCAACCAAGCGAGGCTACTTATCTCCGTTGCTATAGCAGCTAGTTCATAACTTGGGAACGTTGGTGGGTCTAAATGGTCCACAAACTCTGGACCCAACAATGAGTTTTTCTCAGAAATGCCATTAGTATTGTCGCTGCAACACCCACTTCCGCATTTCCGAGGCACAAACAGTTCGTTGTAAGCTCCTTCAAGCAATCTTAGCATTGCCGTGTCTTGTTTACATGATTGGAACTTGTTTTGGTCTTGTCTATGTGGAAATGAAGACCTTTCCATGTGATTGTAAGCATTAAATGAACTGAGCCGGGCCACCGGGCGGAAAAGAGTTGGAGGATCATTATTACCTTCCTCGTTTGTTTTGTCTTCGCATTGTTCTTCAGACATGTCCATGGAAGTGGCTTCTTCTCTTCGGTCTGAAGTTACAAATGGAGTAGTTACATGGCCACCACCGCCTGAAGAGAAAATTTCTTCTGATGATGCTGCGAAGGTATTCGTTCTTTTGAATCCAGAATTTGCCGGGACTAAGTTTCCAGTGGCGAGATTTGTAGTGAGCGTTTCGACCCCCATGCGTCGACGACTTAGAGTGGCGTTCCAGTGGTTCTTGATAGCATTATCTGTTCTTCCTGGGAGGAACTTAGCGATTACAGACCATTTGTTTCCGTGGATGCCATGTGCCCTGATGATAGCCTGATCCTCTACCTCTTTATAAACATTAAAACATATAGACAAAGAAGTGTTACTGATGAAATAACGCAAAACTTGGGATTAATCAACTAATGCACACAAACCTTTGGAAGCCAGTAGTACTACCACACAACGCCATATACAAACAACAACAAAACCATAGCCAAGCAAATTTACTATCCTCAAATAAACCTAACTTTGTTGTTCGTTTGGGATTCAAGGATCAAGGAGAATCTCAACAAAACACAATCCATAACAACCTGAAGTTTCAAACTCAGAAACAAAGATCCAAAGGTTAATATCTTCAAGTTTTGTTTTTTGGGTTCATAGTGAAACAGACTAGTGATTCCGCAGACCACAATTCAGTATAATTTCAAAAGCATACAAGCAACCACAAGAATCAAAGATCCAAAACATGATTAACACTGAAATGGATTAGTGAAGCAACCAGAAAAATCAAAGATTACTCTTTTTCAAACTAAGAACACACAAATCCAAAGGTTAACACTTCTTCAATTTCATAATTCAGTTACAATTCAATTCCAAAGGTTAACACTTCTTCAATTTCACAATTCAAATCCAAAGGTTAACACTTCTTCAATTTCACAATTCAATTCCACTTCAAACGCAATCATGGTCGATCAAATAGTCACAATTCAATTCCAATTCATACGAAAACCCTAGATTCATCAATTTACCTCAAAAAAGGAAATGATCACATGATCAATTCAACTGAAATTCAAATCCCTAATTTGAGTGAGAGAGAGAGAGAGGTACCAGTGAAAGGGTTGTGTTTAAGAGATGGATGGAGCTGATTACACCACCGAAGACGGCAAGACTTTCCTGTACGACCAGGAACACTCCTTGCCAGCAAGCTCCAGTTCTTCGCTCCAAACTTCTCCACCAGATTACTCAACACCACGTCTTCCTCCGTAGACCACGCCACTTTCACTCGTTCTTTACCTCCCCTTCTTCCATCTCCCTCCATATCTCACCTACCGGACTTAACTGTAAAAGCGTTATTCTCGTTGGTGGTCCCGTGATAGACACGCTCGCTCTTTCTAGATTCGCAAACCAAGTACTGTCTTTAGTACTTTTTATTTTTGCCTTATTATTGTTAATTACACTTTCACCCTCCACAATTAGCTTCTTTTCTGTTTTAAAGTTAAAAATTAAAAAACAGTTTTTTAACTTTCGTTAATAACCCACCTTAAGAACATCGAGTTTATCATGGTCTTAGAGCATATGCATCGGGAGGGATTTTAGAAGTTTCTTAAGGGAAGGAGGACCACAAAAGCATAAAAATCAGTAACCAAAAACGCTAGTTAAAGATCAATGTTTTATTGATCCTTGCACTGTTTTGCAGGTCCACAACATATGGCGGCCCGTAATTGACTCTTTTTTAATTATAAATCATATAAGACAAAAAAATAAGAAGAAAAATTAAAAATCTCTTTTGGGTTTCACCTGATAATTATGGATTAACGGAGAAAAAAAACAAAAATATAAACTTAATACGATATAATTTTCATCAAAATTATGTAAATAAATTATATTTATAACAATTTTAACAAAAAAAAATTAAAAAAAAAATTAGACGGTCACTTAAATATTTTTCTTTAACACTAAATTTCATTATCGGAAAAAGTTTTTCAAACAACAGACTACAGGTCTAGTCCCACAACCAACATAATCGAGACAATTTAGCTCCCAACAAAACGAAAACCCCTTGGTACCTCAGCACACTCACACTACTACCCTTCAACACCGTTACAAGAAATGAGACATCTTTAGAGTTTTTGGCTTTTATTGACAAAGAACTCAACCAGCCAATCTGAATGGCTCGTCGCAATGTACGACTGTGTTCTTTCTCATATCGTCACACTTTGAGCAATGAAAGAAGCTTCTCTATTTATCTCCTTCCTTACAACCATCAGCTTCACCTCTACAAGATTATGTAATTCTCTTCTAATCTCCTCATTCAAACTGACCAGCCACAATGAGTTGAAGTTTAGACTTGCCATACTCTCTACGGGTGGCTTGTCACTTAAGTGGTCTAAATGGACTAAAATCGAATATATAACTTTTTTTAAACGATTTAGTATAAATCGGGATGAATGGCGCCTAGAGCCTAGGGTGGCTAGGCTATTACCCTTACAAGTCATATACAGAGGGAGATTTAAGAAATTTACGTATAACGGAAAAGATCAGTTTCACCTATGGCGGGAAGTTTCACTAGATTAACTGGGCCTACTTAGACCTTTTATCAACTAAGAATATTAAAAGCTGGAGTTAGGCCCAGTTTAAAAAGCCCAATATAATCAAAGAAAACGAAAGCCGTCAGATCAGTAAGTTAGTAAACAAACACGAACCGTTAGATACAGGTCGTTAATAAGAAAACCCTAGCTTACTATAAAAAGAAACCAAAACCCTAGTTTCTTCCCTCACACCGCCGAACTTTTTTTTAACAGACAAGAAGGAGAACACTCGAGCCTTATCCTGTGGAGCAACAATGGTGAAGGCAACAAAGGCAGAGAAGAAGATCGCTTACGACGCGAAGCTATGTCAGCTCATCGACGAGTTCACTCAGATCTTGGTCGTTGCTGCCGACAACGTGGGATCGACTCAGCTACAGAACATCAGGAAGGGTCTTCGTGGAGACTCAGTGGTGCTCATGGGGAAGAACACTATGATGAAGCGTTCCGTTAAGATTCACGCTGAGAATACCGGAAACACTGGGATCCTTAATCTCATGCCCCTTCTTCAGGTTTGGATTTACATTTTGAGATATTCTTTTGAAGTTTTTAATTTTTATTGAGATGGTTATGTGTTTTTGTGTTTAGGGAAACGTTGGTTTGATCTTTACTAAGGGAGATCTCAAGGAAGTGAGCGAGGAAGTTGCCAAGTACAAGGTTTGATTATAGCTTTTAATCATAGCTCTGTTTACTGTCTTAATAGTATGTGTAGCTAAAATGAGTACTGTTTCCACCATCAACTTGCATTTCTGCTTATTTATGTTTAGTTTCACATTTAGCTGTTACATTGTTCTTGTCTTATTCGCTTGTGTAGCTAAAATTATTACTGTCTTCTGCATCAACCAGATTATACATTAATTAGTTATTACTAACATTTCTGATTATATTAGTTTAGTTTCACATATAGATGTTCCATAGCTCTGTCTTAATAGCATGTGTAGTTGAATCGATTACTGTTTTCTGCATCATTATAAATGGATTAGTTCTTACTCACCTGTCTGCTTATATTAGTTTAGTTTAGCTGTTAGTTCTTGAAAAAATTGATAGTATGTGTAGTTAAAAATGATTCTCAATGTGAGTGGATTAAGATGTAATTCCTTGTTTATGTATGTCTTGTAATGTGAACAGGTTGGTGCTCCTGCTCGTGTGGGTTTGGTTGCCCCAATTGATGTGGTTGTTCAACCTGGTAACACCGGTTTAGATCCATCCCAGACATCTTTCTTCCAGGTTTGTTTAATCATGTTTTGTAATACTCTTACCTTAGTGACGTTATTACTAATGCACAAGTGTGTTTTTTTTTTGGATTTGTAGGTTCTCAACATCCCAACTAAGATTAACAAGGGTACAGTCGAAATCATCACCCCTGTTGAGCTCATCAAGCAAGGTGACAAAGTCGGTTCTTCAGAAGCTGCCCTTCTAGCCAAGCTAGGCATCAGGCCGTTTTCATATGGTCTTGTTGTCCAGTCTGTTTACGACAATGGCTCAGTTTTCAGCCCAGAGGTTCTCGACCTTACAGAAGATGATCTTGTCCAGAAGTTTGCTGCTGGTATCTCCATGGTCACTTCTTTGGCTCTTGCTATCTCTTACCCTACCCTCGCTGCTGCTCCACACATGTTCATCAATGCATACAAGAACGCGTTGGCTATCTCTGTTGCCACTGAGTACACTTTCCCACAAGCAGAGAAGGTCAAGGAGTTCTTGAAGGTTGGTCATCAAAACATTTATGAAGCTTGGCTTGTTGTATTGTTTGTGTGTTGATGTTAATTCTTGTTTGTAAATCTTGAATGCAGGATCCTAGCAAGTTTGCTGTTGCTGTAGCGGCTGTATCTGCAGATGCAGGTGGTGGTGCTTCAGCTGGAGCTGCCAAGGTAGAGGAGAAGAAGGAAGTGGTGGAGGAATCAGATGAAGAAGACTACGGTGGTTTCGATATGTTCGGTGAAGAATAGATTAATAAATCTATCAAGTTTACCTTTTTGTCGCTGCGATAAGTGTTGCTTCCGTTTGTAGTATGATGTTTTCAATGTTCTTGATTTTGGACACTTCAGATTTATACTTTTATCTTTCTAATTTGAAAAAATGGTTTCGTTTTAGATTTTGATAATCTTAGTCTGTTCATTAAGAAAGATAATAAGATACCATGCTTAGCAAATGTAATCTCTTCCGAGGGACATTTTAGACTAAAGCCCACTTTTGGCCCGGCCCGGCCTTGAAAATGAATTTAAAACTAATGAAAACAGAACAAAAATGATTTTGGTTCTTCATACCGGAGTCATATCTAGTTCTCTCTTCTTATTCTTTTTTTGGTTCCAGCAGTTGTTGAGCTTCGTTCTTGATTAAGATATATCTTTAGTTTCAGTGAAGACTTGAAGATAGCTAAGAAAGGGACAAAGGAAGAAGTCATTAGTTTCACTTTTGTGTTTCAGTGTTATAAACTAGCTTTTATCAATGGAGTTAGGATCTTCAATTGGGTCGTGCTTCAAGTCGGCCAACCCTCCTGTACTAATCTCTAAGAACACCAATCTCACGTTGACAAGGAGAAGTCAAAGATTCTCATTCAGAGTCTCTGCTGTTTCATATAAAGAATTCGCTGAGTCTGCTCTGGAAGAAACCAGGAAGAGGGTCGTTCTTGAGCCTTCCCCTCTCCAGGTAGACTGCAACTATATTGAGTTTTAGTTTTCATTTCGACACAGACCATAACAGGCATTTGTTATGGTTACATTGAGCTTGAGTTGTCACTAGGAAAAAACACGGTAAGTATATAGAATGTTGAAGAACATCCTGAACTGTCTTGTTTATCTATATGATGATTATATCAAAGATCCTGGTGAAGTTTGTATTGATTCAATTAGTTATAGCTGTGACATTTGTATAACACATAGTAATAGACTATTGAATCTCCATTTTTTCTATCCCGGATATTATGTATGTGTTTTATGCACAACGTCCAAAGTATACATGGAACTGATTTGCATTTTAGGCAAGTTTGACTGCTAAAGGCTGCTTATTTACCTCAAACTGTTTCAGGAAAGGTATAGTAGCATGAGAGGACTTGATGGCAAAACCCAACTTCAAATGCTTGCTTTCAAGTCTCCAAAGATTAGACTCTTGCGGAGCATGGCCATCGAGAACGAGACAATGCAGGTATTATCTTCTACTTTGAAGATTTAAAGCCATAGTATCTTTGTGCGTACAAATTTGATTACATAATCTCTGTGGATATGACCTTCCAAGGATGGTGAAAGAACATGTTGCGTTAGTCCTTATTTCTAACCAGTCAATCCTTTTTTGGGTATTATGATCTGCAGGTTTTCGACTTTGCTGGTTTCATGGAGCCTGAGTATGATACACCTATATTCTGTGCCAACTTCTTCACATCTGCCAACACCAACATCGTGGTGCTGTAAGTTATCTTCTTCTTTGATCTTCTAGTTATGCTTAAAGTCAATCATGTCTATATTGTCCAAGGATGGAGATTTGATGTCCAAAAGCTTACTGTGTGATAGGGACTTAAATCCCTTGCATCAGTTGACTGATCAGACAGATTACCAAGACAAGTATTACAAAAACATAATGTCCATATACCACAAATACGATGAGGTTAGCACAAGAAAATGTGTAGAAACACTAAATTAATCATCATGCATATGAACTGATCTGAGGTTTTCTTGCAGATTTTCCCATGGGGAGGAAAGCTGACTGGTGAGTCCATAAAGTTCTTTTCACCTTTGGTGATGTGGACTAGATTCTCGTCTAGCCAAGAAAAACATAAGGCTTTGTTCTCTGCGTTCCTTGAATACTATCAGGTATCTCAAATTTGTGAGCTGCTAGCTAAAAGCTAAGGTCTACCAGGCAAACATGAGTGAATGATCAGTCGTTTTTCGTACCATAAAGGCATGGCTTGAGATGACAATCCAAGTGAAGGAAGAGATAGAGCCATCTCAGGTGAAAGCCAATCGTGAAGCACAACACAAGTACCTGACATGGCGAGCACAGAAGGTGATTACTTTCCTTTTAAAACAGACACTCTACCTGTATTGTTGTTACAATGGATCTTTGTTTGGTGTTGGCAGGATCCTGGACATGCTCTTCTTAGAAAACTAATTGGTGAAGCAAAGGCAAAGGTACCTCTCATTAGTGGTTTCACTTGTTGTCCTTATGAAGATGTTGTTAATAAATGATTTGAATAAAACCAGGAGTTGCTGAGAGATTTTCTGTTCAATGGGGTGAATGAGATGGGCACAAAAACATTCATTGATTACTTTCCAGAGTACCAAACAGAAGATGGAGCTGTGAGTGACAAACGAAGCATCATTGGGAAGTCTTTTGAAACTCGGCCATGGGATTCAAATGGACTATTCATCGGTTAACACATTCTCTAAGCTTTAATCCATGTGTTCATGTGAACAACAAGTTCAGATTCAGTTTGTGACATCAACAGAACATAGGGAATTGGAATAAGAACAAGCATCATGAAGAGTCTCTCAGCTCTGTGTTTAATATTTTTATACAGCATCTCAGGATGATTGTTTAGAGTTTACCACCATTGGTTAGTGTGTTGTTACCCATTGTTTATCCTCTGTTGGTACATTACATGTTGTCAAACAAGAGTAATTCAGAAACCAAATATTACCAGTTTACATTTTCTTTTATCTGATTTATGGTGTTTTTTTTCTTGGGTTGCTGCAGAATCATTGTGAGCATTCCTTTGGCCTCGAATGTGCGTGTAGTGATTATCATCAGATTAACAGGAGCCAATTTTTCGTCTTAGAGAGTTTTACTAATTATAACGCAGGAATGAACAACATCCGTTGTAGTCTAGCTGGTTAGGATACTCGGCTCTCACCCGAGAGACCCGGGTTCGATTCCCGGCAACGGAGATTTTTTGACCTCTGTTCACTTTAACATTGAACACTTGTCGTTGGATACTCTCTTTCCTTCCTCAACGAACTATCTTATAGTTTTTGTTAGTAGTAAACACTGTTAATCATAACTTCTAAGAACTACTAGCTGATAATTCTGAAACTAATATTTCAGAGTTACTTGGTGTAATGGGATATGGTCTAAAAATAGGTGATGAGAAAGAAGCATGAAGGACAACATCACAGAGGAAGTGTTATTATAGGAGATAAGGGAGATCATCTGGTTGCCTATGTATGAGGACCGTATTCAAATGGATAGCAAAGCTGCTCGCTTTAGATGAAACAACATCTGTTGTTGTTGTGGTCTCTCAACACATACATCAAGCAGAATCAAGAAAGAGACATCATCTGCGGATGGCCGGTAATGTATCTTGCTTGCCTTCTTTGCGAGTCCCTGGTGCTTGTAATGGTACAAGTAATAGTACTTAGGAAGGGATAATGTACTAATTTTTAGTATTATTATTGGTTTTATTGTACTTCAGAAACAAACGATTGGTGTTAGTATCATGATTCCTATTCTTTTCACTAATATGTTTTGATTTGAATCGTTCAAAAATCTTTATTCACATGTACATGTGACCGCTGGTTCTGTTCAGGCTCAGGACAAGACCTCCTCGGAAGTATTACATGTTACACTTGCAGACGATTCACTTTTTGCTGCTTCGGTTTTCTCTAGTCAATGTCGGTATTATGTACAGCTTCTCGAATATCAGATGAACTCAGAGCTTAGTTGTTTGATGGAGCAGATTTGACGATCCCATAAATATTTAAGGAAGTTAATGAGGTTGTTGCCAAGATGGTCTTTGAGAACACACAAAATAGAACACAAGGGATGGATAATGTGTCTATCAATTAGTTCAAATAATTAGCTGAAAGATTTTATACTTAAAACACTCTACACTTTGAACACATTGACTTGTTAACATTTATGTAATGCCCCGACCGTCCACAGCTAATGGGCCATCCACGCATGTTCTCTCGGCTCATGGGCCGCATCCCATTCCAACGATCGGTCCGTTAATTTTCCAAGGCTCAAGAGGCATGTTTACTGATCCTGCAATCACCACATGACTTTTCTCGGTGTTTTGGCCTCACTTAAACGGTATCGCAAATCACTTCCCGATGGGTCACCCATCTTTAGACTACTTCAGCTCAAACACGCTTACCTCTAGAGTTCTCTTTGGATATGCTCCCAAAAAAATAAGTACACTTTGATGATATAAATAGTCAAATCAATTCTCTTAATCATTTCCATATATCATAATTTAGGATGTTACAATTTCAAAACTTATTTCAGATTCTAAAGCTTTTAAAATGTTTGATATGTGAACATACAATTAAGACATTGTATAATAGTTTCATTTCTTATTTCTTATTAACTTTCTTGTGTTTTGTGGTTGTCAAGATCAGACTCAAACTAGTCACCTACAATACGGATCCACCGAACTACTGTTGAGATTTTTAATCCTTTTAGTTGTTTCAACTTTGCCTTTTCTATCTCTCTTCGTTTGAGGACTCCTACTACAGATAGCTGCTGATTTTCATGGCAATGGTAGACTCATTTTATAGGATAGAACCATATCCAGATATATATTCGGTACTTTTGATATATGCGTTTATTGGATCCACAATTCCTTCCTTTTGATAAAAAGATAATTTCCAGATACATTAGTAATCATAAAACTATAGTATTCAAGAATAATTGTACATAGTTTTTTTCAGCATCAAAAATGCGTTCCATAGTTCAAATTCATGTGTATAAAATGTTAGTAAATTTATTAGATAATGAATTAGTTATAATCGTTAGTTAAAGTCAGGAACAATTAATCATCTAAGACACAAAAACATTATAATAAAGCAAAGCCTAGAAATTTGTCTTGTTTTGGGTTCGTCTCTTGTCTTGCTTTAGTAACATGCTAAAAAATAAAGAGTCCCCTGCTTTATTGGGATTCCTCACTCTAATAAATAAATAAAAATCACCGAAACATAGATGTTCATAAAAATTTAACTAAAATCACAGTTCTTGTTAACTATACTTTGTGAGTTTTGATGTATTCTACCTACATTTTTTACCTAAATCTGTCTTCTGCTGTTTATGTTACGAAATAATATACAAGCGAAAATATTTTTCCACCATGTGAAAATCATTCTCAAACAAGGATGTTTTAATTTTGACGTGTATATACAAATACATGGCATACACTTATACATCACATACTAAAAAGAGTACATTTATATTGATCTGTACATTACATTACAAGTTAGTATAATATACATGGACACTTGTTAGTTAAAGAGTATCTGAGTAAGAAAGGAGGTAAAGAGACTTTCATAGATGTGAATAGAATGACATACAGAAGCATGTTGGGTCCAAAATGGAGGCTTTTTATGTAAAATAATAAAGCTTTGCGATGTAAAAATATATATAAAAGTGAAAATTAAGCTAGGCTGTTTTTTTCTTCTTGATTAAAATTGGGAAATGAATAAAGCCTTTGATTTCTGTGAGTTGTCGAATGTTGTGGGCCAAAAAGGTTCATACTTTGATTGTCATTTTCCAACTCATCATTTCTCATGTAATCATTACATTCCTCTTTTTGTTTTTCTTTACCTTTGATCCAATATGTACCATATTTTCTTACAAATAATGTATATTGCAATCTTATCAACGATAGACTAATAATTATTGGAAATATTTATTTTTAATATAATGTCAGAAACCAATTAAACTTGGAGCGGGTGACGCTTAGAAACATTATTGTTGTCTCTAAATTTGATTTGTTAAGATTATAAATTTGTTGAGTAATTTTCTTTCATAAACAAGTTACATCTATTGAAACATACCAAATGGTTATTGCGAATAACGAATTAAAGCTTCAAACAAATCATTTGTATTTCTTTTGTTATTACAAGTAATTTTAGGGAGATTTCTTTTGTTGAAGTATTTGTGTCCCTCAAGGGTTTAGGGTTTATTTAACATTTTACCAAAAGTGTTTAGGGTTTGTGTTCACATGGTTCTGTAAGCATGAGCTGGTATGTTTCTTTGTTGTTCAGTGACATACTGTCTACTATGTAAAGTGAGTGAAAGAGAAGAAGATAGATTCATCTTTTGTCGATCAGTATCTTGTATGTATGGTAAATCTTACAGGTGTTTGATAGAGCTGGAGTGAGTATATATAGAATATCAATAACTTTCTGTAGTCAAGGCAATTTTTGGTAAGGAAGATGTATTGTACAAAGAGTTACGGACCAATTCACAAAAGTGACATCATCAAGCCAATCAACTATACCGTCTTTTTACTGTCACAATCTCTTGAAGTATTTTTACCGCTTGACAACTTTTTACCACGCTGTTATCTTTTATATCAAAACCCAATGTTTATTGTTTCACTTCTTTGTTCTGATACCCCCAGAAAAGGAAAATCTTAATTATGATATATAACTGATGATTATGTATGTCACACAGTCCAAACATGATATATGTTATAGCGTTGAGGAAATTATTATGTTCTATACATATTGCATTACTATCATTAACTATTTTGCTTACCAGCATAAATTCATCATGCATTGTTATAATTAAAGTGGCCTTGTAAGATATTTTACCCCAACTAAGCTAAATCAATTTCGAGCATCCCTATTCATATCTCTAAATCTCCATTCACTCATTAAAATAAAGAGGACTATTTTTGTCAACATTTAATCATTTACCAAGCGTTAAAGTGAAAGTGAAGTAATAATTCAATAAAACACCCACATTAATGGCATTGATTGCGTGAGGTTTAGTGGGATACGAGGCAACAATGAGCGGCCGTGCCTCACACACACATACACACACGTTGCTCGAATAATTATTAAAAGAATACTGACGACTTCATAAGAAAAAAACTTATACGATAATAAAAGTATATCTTTCATACTAGAAAGACACATTGATTAATATACAAAAGTAGATAAGGTAACAAATGATGAATTATGAACGTGGGATATGATGTAGTTGGAAGATTCTCACCACACGTCTGATAATATATACTTCTACGATCGTTCTATATATTTCGGAATTAAGAGATCAATTAAAAATTGAAGACCGTAATCAAATTATTCACATATATATTTTTTTGGTTATATAATTATTCACATTTATATTACCCTAAAAAAAGACGTATATATACTCTGATAACAAACTTATTCCACAAAGGATAAAGGCGTTAAGGACAAGATTTGCTTCCCATGGTAGAGACATTCAGAGACCGTACTAGTACTACCACGATAAAATTTTACTTCCAAAAATCAAATTAATACGCATCCACAAAACATCACAGAATAAATATACTTCAAATAACATTTTTTTTTTGCGGAAAGAACAAAAAAAATACATAAAAGAAAAGCCAAGACATTGCTCAAAAATCAAATTAATACGCATCCACAAAACATCACAGAATAAATATACTTCAAATAACTTTTTTTTTTTTGCGGCAAGAACAAAAAAAATACATAAAAGAAAAGCCAAGACATTGCTCAAAAAAATAAAATAAAAGCCAAGACAAATTTGATCAGATAAAGGAAAAAATAAAGGTAAAGGTAATAGCATGCATTGCAAAAAGCAAATAAATAATGCAGTTGATAACGATAGCTTTCAAAAATATTTGAACCATATTTTTAACAGCTCCAATTCGAGAAAAGCTATTCAAAGCCATTCAAAAATAAATCGTAGGTACTACTAAATATTCCATCAGTTTTTTAAAATACATATAAAGAAGGAAAAATGGTTGGAAGATATTGTGACACTTTTATGTACTTATTAGTTAAGAATAAAAAAATATAATTAAAAGTATATATAAATTTTTATTAATGTGGAAGTATGAAAAAATAATCAGAAAATGATATATTAATAACCAAAATTTCAATGTTTCTTAATATGTGTTAAGATTTAAAACATATCATTTGAAAGAGAAAATAAAATATACTTTAATTGTTGAACTGAAAGCGTAAGAAAAATCCAATAAAATTGATTGTATCTTGTGTAGTAGTTTAATAAAATGCGTACTCTTCATTTCGAAAATAGTATAATCAAAAAAATTTCCAATTTTTTTTTTTTTTTTGCTACCTAAAATTCTATCTGATTAGTGTTCGAATATCGAGAAGTTTTATTTACAAAAAATGTATGAGAAAGAGAAAAAATAGAGAGGAAAAGAAAAAGGAAAAGGAAAAGGAAGAAGAGAAAGCGAAAGGTGAGAGTGTCACAGAGACAAGAATTTAGTCCCGAATCTTTACAATTCCAAAGAATCCCTTTTATTGATTTTTCTTTCTATTTTTAATACACTAATTCTTACTGTGGTTAAAAACAGTAATTTTCATAGTTGACGCAGCAGTTGCTATGATTGATGCGATAATTGACATGGTTATTACTACGGTAGAACTGTAGAGAAGCAGCACTGACAAGTTACAAATATTTTGATATTCAACTTGTATCGTAAATAATTCAAACCGGATTTTATTTACGTCTTTAGATCACAGAATTAGTTTTAGGTGCATTTTTTTAATTGGATGATCGCTGTTGTTTACATTATGTTCTTTAAATGTTTTGTTTCGTTGGATCACCACTATACTTTTATCTTGAAAAATGTAAGCCAAAGTAGTTTAATTTAAACTGAAGCATGTGTTGCTTTGAAAAATTGTCAAAAGCAGTGTGAAAATTTGGATTTTTAAGTTAAAATCGCTTTTGACAAAGCATGCAAATGATCCACTTTGTCACTAACCCAACATGTTACGGGTTTATATTACACGAGACAAAACCGGAAGAACATAAGTTCTGATTGATATCTTTCTAATTTTGACCCCCAAAAAATCTTTTATTTTAAGTATTCACTAAACCATAACCACTTAATTTTTATGTTTTTTTGGTAAAACATTATTCTATCCATAGGCATGTTAACAAAAAGTGTAATTGAGGAAAAGGACCAAAGTTTAACGTGTAAGAAATTTTAACTTTTAATATATGTTTTCATACAAAAAAAGTTTTGGCTTATATGATCGATAAAGCTGAGTAAAAATATCTACTAATCAGAGCATAATCCATTTTCCATCTTTTGATTTAGTATTAAAATCCTAGATAACCACACTAAAGCAAAAAATACAAACTTAATTTTTTTTCTAAAATTTGTTTTTTCTTTTTGTTTCGTTTCTATTCATCTCCTTTCTTTTTCAATACCTTCGAGCCAAACGAAGTTTCAGACACAACACAACCAATCTCTCTCTCTCTTTAACGTACGTGTTGTCCCTCTCTCTCTCTATAACCAGAGAGACAGTGATGTCACTACTCTAAGCAGAGGAAATAATCAACTAACCACACCATTTACCGTCATGAACCCAGCAACCGACCCCGCAGCAGCTCTAGCTCCGCCTCCACAACCACCGCAGCCCCACCGTCTCTCAACCTCCTGCGACCGTCACCCGGAGGAGCGTTTCACCGGCTTCTGCCCTTCCTGTCTCTGCGAACGTCTCTCCGTCTTAGACCAAACCAACAACAACGCCGCTTCCTCTTCCTCCTCCTCTCGCAAACCTCCGACCATCTCCGCCGCCGCTCTCAAAGCCCTCTTCAAACCCTCCAACGGAAACCCCAACGGCCGGGTCAAACCCGGTTTCTTCCCGGAGCTCCGCCGTACCAAATCCTTCTCCGCGTCGAAGAACAGCGACGGACTCTCACTCTCCGGCGCGTTCGAGCCGCAGCGCAGGTCGTGTGACGTCAGACTCCGAAGCTCTCTCTGGAACTTGTTTTCCCAAGACGAGCAGCGAAACCTCCCCACCACCGTCTCCGCCGCCGGCGAGGTTGACGTCGTCGAGCCTCGGAAGTCTAGCGTCCAGGAGCCTGTTCTAGAGGTCAACAACGAAGAAGAAGAAGAAGCTGAAAGTGATGAACTCGAAGAGGAGGAGGAAGACTACGTCGAACCTTGCGACTTCGAGATTCTTAACGACGAGTTTAACGCCGTTAGAAGCGAAGCTAACGGCGTTATAACAGACGAGATCGTTGAAGAGAGGGAGGAGATAGAAGAGGAAGTTGAAGTAGTTGAAGTACCCGAAGAGCTGAAGCCAATGAAGGACTACATAGATCTTGACTCATCCCAAACCAAGAAGCCATCGGTACGACGTAGTTTCTGGTCAGCCGCCTCCGTCTTCAGCAAGAAGCTTCAGAAATGGAGACAGAACCAGAAACTCAAGAAGCGGCGCAACGGCGGCGACCACCGGCCGGGATCGGCGAGGTTACCGGTGGAGAAACCGATAGGGAGACAGCTCCGGGATACTCAGTCGGAGATCGCCGACTACGGTTACGGCCGGAGGTCGTGCGACACCGATCCGAGATTCTCCCTCGACGCCGGAAGATTCTCTCTCGACGCCGGAAGATTCTCCGTCGATATCGGGAGGATCTCGGTGGATGATCCTCGTTACTCGTTTGATGAGCCGAGAGCTTCTTGGGACGGGTCTTTGATCGGAAGGACGGTGTTTCCGCCGGCGGCGAGACCTCCTCCGCCGCCGTCGATGCTCTCGGTGGTGGAGGATGCGGCGCCGGTGCACCGTCACGTGACACGGACGGATATGCAGATTCCGGTTGAGGAACCACCTCCACCACCACAGGTTGTTAATGCTTCCAACAATGTTTCCGACCCGGTTATAATCCCGGGCGGGTCTATCCAGACCCGAGACTACTACACTGACTCATCTTCCCGGAGGAGGAAGAGTCTAGACAGGTCTAGCTCTATGAGGAAAACGGTTGTGGCGGATGTTGACGAGCCAAAGCGGTCAGTATCATCAATAGATACTTACTCAGGATCACTAAGGGATAACAGTTACAGTGTTGAGACCACGACGGTGGAACCGGCGGTGATAACCGGTGAGAGGAAAGTGAGTAGTAACGATAACAATAAGAAGTCGAGACGGTGGGGGAAGTGGAGCATATTGGGGCTTATTTACAGGAAGAGTGTTAACAAGTATGAGGAAGAGGAGGAAGAGGAGAGGTATAGGAGGTTAAACGGTGGAATGGTGGAGAGATCGTTGTCGGAATCATGGCCGGAGCTGAGGAACGGAGGAGGGCCGAGGATGGTGAGGAGTAATAGTAATGTGAGTTGGCGGAGCTCCGGGGGTGGAATGGGGAGGAAAGTTAATGGACTGGAGAGGAATAAGAGTTCAAGGTATTCACCTAAGAATGGGGAGAATGGGATGTGGAAATTTTATTTGGCACCGATGAAAGGTAGCCGGAGAATGAGTGTTGGAGGAGCTGGTGGTGGTGGTGGGTGGGGGAATAGTCACGGCCATTCTGTAACGAGGAATGCTATGAGGATGTATTGATCAACATGTTCATTGGGGTGGTTCGGTTAAGGGGTTTAGAGCTCTATGAACCGTTTGCTGTTTTGTTGTCATTTTGTTGGTTTGGTTTAATTTCGGTGCAATTGGTTTACTTTTTAATGTTAAGGGGAGGGGCATTTTCAAAAGGAATGACTTGTTGACGTTGTCTATTATAACCGGAATAAACCGCCTTTTAACAATCAGTTATTGGTTCAACTTTCAGTTAGAAACATATATTGGCTTTGGTTTACAAACCTAATGATGTTGGGCAAGAAACGAAACCGAACTCAAACCAAAAATACATGTTTCAACTATTCGATTAGAGTTCTTATCAGCACTAAAATTTTAATTTGGTTCAAGTTAAACTAAACCAAAAAAATCACTATAATAACTTAATTAGTTTAATTAAATGTATTTATTTTTTAAATAGTTAATCATTCAAACTATTTGATTAAAGATAATTTTATAAGTTTTGTTTATAGATAAATAAAAAAATTATCAATAATTAAAAGAATTATTTCCTATATTATTAAGTAAACTACAAAGTTATAATAGTTACAATTATTGGATTTACTTTTTGTGATGTTTGATTTTACATACTAACATACAAAAATTAATTAATTAGTGATAAAATGATGATTTAACTGGATTAACATTAAATTTATAACAAAAATATATTAAACCAAACCGATTACAACCCAAATCAAACTATATAGTTGATTTCGATTTTTTTTGGAACTGAATTAACCAAATGGAATAAAACCAAACCAAACCAAATTAGAAATTAAACCGAAGTTTATATTTAAATTAGTAAGACATCCGACAAGAGCTACTGCTCGAAACCAAAACATGCCGGAGAGATAATCAACTAACTATCACCGCAAACTCTCCTCCATGGTCGTTCTCCCAAAATCGCTGTCCCCAAAACACCTCCTCAAGCTCCTAAAATCAGAGAAAAACCCCCGCGCCGCCTTCACTCTATTCGACACAGCGACTCGCCACCCAAACTATGCACACTCCCCCGTCGTCTTCCACCACATCCTCCGACGACTCGCGGACGCCCGTATGGTCACCCAAGTCTCCCGCGTCGTCGACCTCATCAAATCACAAGAATGCAAATGCGACGAAGACGTAGCTTTGTCAGTCATCAAAACCTACGGGAAGAACTCAATGCCCGACCAAGCTCTCGACGTGTTCCAACGAATGTCGGAGATTTTCGGGTGCGAGCCTGGGATTCGATCTTACAACTCTCTTCTAAGTGCCTTCGTGGAGGCGAGGGAGTGGGATAAAGTCGAGTCCTTGTTTGCTTATATCGAAACAGTTCCGGGTTTAAAGGCTAATCTGCAGACTTATAATGTTTTGATTAAGATGTCGTGTAAGAAGAAACAGTTCGAGAAGGCGAAAGGGGTTTTAAGTTGGTTGTGGGAAGAGGGTTTGAAGCCTGATGTGTTTAGTTACAGTAATGTGATTAATGAGGTTGTTAAAGCTGGAGATTTGGATGATGCGTTGAAGCTGTTCGATGAAATGTCTGAGAGAGGAGTGGCGGCTGATGTTACTTGTTATAATATTTTAATTGATGGGTTTCTTAAGGGGAGAGATTATAACAAGGCTATGGAGCTTTGGGAGAGATTGTTGGAGGATGTTTCTGTTTATCCGAATGTTAAGACTCATAATATAATGATTAGTGGTTTGAGTAAGTGCGGGAGGGTAGATGATTGCTTGAAGATATGGGAGAGGATGAAGGAGAATGAGCGAGAGAAAGATTTGTTTACTTATAGTAGTATGATACATGGGCTGTGTGGTGTGGGGAGTGTTGATCAGGCTGAGAGTGTGTTTAAAGAGTTGGTGGAAAGTAAGGTTTTTATTGATGTGGTTACATATAATACTATGCTTGATGGGTTTTGCCGTTGTGGGGAGATCAAGAAGAGTTTGGAGTTGTGGAGAGTCATGGAGAATAAGAATTCAGTTAATACTGTGAGTTATAACATTTTGATTAAAGGGTTGTTAGAGTATGGTAAGATTGATGAAGCTACAATGATTTGGAAGCTTATGCCTGCGAAAGGATACACAGCTGATAATATAACGTATGGTATTTATATACATGGGTTGTGCGTGAATGGTTATGTAAATAAAGCCTTGGAGGTGATGAAAGAGGTTGAGAGCAGAGGTAAACATCTTGATGTTTATGCATATTCCTCAATTATAAACTTTTTGTGCAAAGAGAGGAGACTCGAAGAAGCATCAGGTTTGGTGAAAGAGATAAGCAAGCATGGCGTGGAGCTTAACCCTCATGTCTGTAATGCATTAATGAGTGGATTAATCCGAGACTCGAGAGTTAGTGATGCTTCTTTTCTCCTGAGAGAGATGGCGAAAAGCGGTTGTCGTCCCACTGTTGTATCTTACAACATTCTTATTGACGGCTTGCGTAAAGCAGGAAACTTCGGTGAAACATCAGCTGTTGTGAGAGAAATGCTTGAAAACGGATGGAAACCAGATCTTAGAACATACAGTTCACTTCTGGGAGGTCTTTGTCACGATGGGAAGATCGATTTAGCCCTTGACCTGTGGAACCAGTTTCTTAAAACGGGTCAAAAACCAGATGTGACCATGCATAACATTCTGATTCATGGTTTGTGTTCTGTTGGGAAGATTGATGATGCAATACAAGTGGTAGCGGAGATGGAGCGTAGGAACTGCGTTGCGAATCTTGTAACTTACAACACGTTGATGGAAGGATGCTTCAGTGTTAAAGATAGTAATAGCGCTACAGTGATTTGGGGTTACATGTATAAGAAAGGGTGGCAACCTGATATTATATCTTACAATATTCTACTTTCAGGGTTGTGTATGTGTGGCAGAGTTAGGCACGCTATTGAGTTCTTTGATGATGCTCGAAGGCATGGCATTGCCCCAACCGTTGTCACCTGGGACATACTTGTTCGAGCTGTGGTTAATTGCTAACGTAATGGATAGTAAAGGAAAACGGTTTCATAGTTTGGCTCTAGATTTGATCTTTAGACCAGCTTAGCTTAGCTTTCTGTGATAAAGGTGCAATGCTCCTCCATTATTTACCGTGGAGACATTCGGTTTTGGAGGTTGAGTTGTTATGTATGTGTACTTGGAAGTGTAGGAGGTAAACCACAGCAAGTCAGTAGTGTATATTATACATGGGATACATCATTTTGGTGGCTCACATAGGTTTGAGTGAACGTCATCAAGATCTGCTACATTGGATTATACATATATCACAAGAATTTTGGTGACTTGCATTGGTTTGAATGATATGAGTAAACATCATTGAGATCTGATGCAAAAGAGAAACTGTAGCTTTATGTATCAAACTAAGAGTGATATGTTTCCCACTTTCGGTCTGTTTTATCTTGTCATTATTGATCTGATTCGACTGATGAAAGAGTCCAATTCTCACCGTCTCTGATTTATTCCTTCTTGTTTCCTTTACCCTTATATGCTTCTTCTGATAAACAATGTCTGCGCGTTATACTTTTCTAAAACTGCGAGAACGACATACAATCTTTTAAACTGATACAAACCCTTTGAGCTTGCTTCGTTGAGATCTTCATGGCGAAGTTATCTCTATAATATTATTTGAGAAGTCAGTTTCCTATGTGTCGCTCTCACGTTCATTCTCACGATGGTTGATTACACTGATACCCTTAATGAATTAAAAATAGATGAAAATAATATTATTAATTCTTTTATTTTTAGTTTTTACTTTTCAAAATTTTCCAAAAAGATATGTAATAAAAAGGCTTTTTTTATAAAGTCATAAAAACAAATTTAAAACGAAAATATATGTATATATAATATGATTTCATATAAAAGGAAAGTTGACAAAATAGTAATAATACATTTAAAAATATTTTTAAATAACTTAAAAATATGTATATATAATATAATTTCATAAAAAAGGAAAGTTCACAAAATAGTAATAATACATTTAAAAATATTTTTAAATAACATAAAATATAATTTTAGAGTAATAAAATAGTTTATAATTAGTATTATTGAATTTTTATTTATTTTTCATATATTTAGTTGACTATAATATCTTTAAATTACAGAAAATTATCTAGAACTTATATTTTACTTATATAATATTATTTCAAATACAATCACAATTTTGTGTAGTGCTTATTTTTAAGAGATATTAAAAACTAAATATAAATTTAACAATAAACATCGTTTGATCAAAATAATTGTTCTAATGAGCTAGATATATGATATTTTATCATTATTAAAATTATTTATTTTATTAATATTAATTGTTTTAAATTTTATGTTTTATGTTTGTGAAACTAAATATAACCATAATCAAAATATCAAAGCAAATCTGAATTCTCAATTTAAGATTATTTAAAATAAGTTTACATTCAATAAATCTAAAGCATAAAGTTATTTAGAATTTATAAATGCATGTAACCTTTAATTTTATTGATCATATGATAACTCAAAACATATTAACAAATAAAAATAAATACTAACCAACTCTTACAATTTTAGTTCTTTTGTAAAATTTATATATATCCATGAGACTTTAAAATATTTTCGTTGTATTAATTTACGTATTTTGGAATAAGATACTTTAGTTAATTTTTAATTCATTCTAAGCACAATATATCTTAAGTTATACATAATTTTCCTAAAATATATTTACATATCTAAGACAACACCCACCATATGCAAATAAATAACTAATTAAAAATTAATATATTTTAAAAATATTACAGTTGAATTCAGAGATGCAATCTAATTTATCCAAATGATAACTAAACCAACCGTAAAACAACAAAATTGACTAGATATAACATATATAAAATTACAGTATAAGTAAAGTAATATAATACTATTAATATAAATGATGCATACAAATTATAAATTAATTTAAAATTAAAAGTAAATAATAAACAATTATTATTATATATTTAATTTAAAAATATTTATATCCGTGCATGAGCACGGGAAAATCACCTAGTATGTATTATATGATATGTATTCATCATATATAAAATATATAAATAACCTAATAAAAATAGTTAGAATTCAAATTTTATAATATCTAAACCACTAATAATTTTATAAACGAAATATTTCTATTCATTTTCTACCCACTAAATAAGTTTTAAATATATATAAATAGAAAAAGGAAATTTTCTCAAATCAACAACTCTATAAATTAACAAATTCTTGTGCATTATTAAAGATTTTGAGGCGCAAGGCATAGAGAGACAAAAAAAGAACCTAAGCTAGTTACAGATTGAAACAATGACGAAGATCTCCGACCTTCCTGTAAATTTGGTAGAGGAGATTCTCTCTAAGGTTCCCTTAAAGAATATGAGAGCAGTGAGATTAACTTGCAAAGAGTGGAACACTTTATCCAAGAGCCAAAGCTTCTCAAAGATGCACATTGATAGAATAAGCGCAGGTGAGTCTGTGATGGTTGTTGCCTTGACGGATGATTACGATCTATATCTCATGAATGTCGTTAACAAATATCCATTTATAGAGTGTAAAGGTAAACTTACTTTCCTAGACAAACACAAACAAAATAAGATATCTGACGTTTTCCACTGCGACGGTTTATTGTTATGCGTCTTAAAAGATGATGCTAACAAAGTTATCGTTTGGAATCCGTATTGGGGTCAAACAAGGTCGATAGAATGTAGATATTCTGACCGAAGAAACAAATGGGACAACTTCACTTACGGTCTAGGATACGAGGACAAAGGCTCATCTTGTCGTAACTACAAGTTCTTGAGGTTTATAGAACAGTGCGGTGACTATGCGGTCAAAGACCGGTTTATACGGTACGAGATTTACAATTTCGAGTCTAGTTCATGGAAGACTCATGATGTTACTCCACATTGGCATATATATTATCAGCGTGGCGTGTCTCTCAAGGGAAATACTTACTGGGTTTCAGGAGGGAACACGGAAGAAAATGCGTTTGAAAATCACATAATCTGTTTCGATTTTACAAGAGAGAGTTTTGGTCCTCTTATGCGTCTGCCGTTTGACGTCACTCACATTGGTGACAATGTGACTCTATCATGTGTTAGAGAAGAGAAGCTTGCGGTTTTATTCACTCACTACGGAGAAGATCCATTGGTGTTTGAGATATGGATTACTACTAAGATTGAGGCGGAAAAGATGTCGTGGAGCAAGTTTTTGACACTCGTGGACCCGGAATTAGAGCATCTGATTTCATATCATTGTTTCTTCATTGATGGGGAGAAGAAAGTCGCCATGAATTTTGAAGAAGAATACGCGGAAACATTTAACATCATTGGAGAGGATGGATACTTTAAAAAGGTGGAACTCGGAGAGTGTTTAGGCAGAGACATAGACTGTTTGACAAATGCGTGCTCTTATGTTCCAAGCCTAGTTGAAATCAAACAACCTGCTTCTGCAGGAAGTAAAAGGAAACAAGAAAGCGATCAAAACATGGCGAGATTTGTTGACGGATCAACATCTCTCAACGAAGCTTCTTGGTCAAAGACTCTTGACCGTACCTCAACATTCATGGTGTTCTCTCAAGATGGTGATCAAGGATCGATTAAGGACAGTCACCAGGTGGCGCTTGGAATGGTTTTATGAATGATCCGATGGAACAGAGAGACAGAGAGAGAAAAACGCAAAGAAGATGGAAAAAAGTACTTTTGGTTAAGGAGTTTGAAAGGAGGTAGGAAGGTGTTCAACACTTTTCTTGTGTCCATCTTTTACATTGTGTTTTACCAATATTTCTCCATCTTAGTTTGGTGTTTTGTAAGTCATCCATTTTTCTTACAAATTATTTTCATGCAAAATCATCATCACTTGGTAATATGGTCTCCAATAGCAGCATATACACAAATAAAAGGCATATAGTACTCTACTTGAGAGACTGAATGACAAACAATCCCAACAACTCTTTGGTTTAAGTGAGGCGAGTTGTCTAACTCTGTTTCATCAGAGGGTTATCTTAGTATGAGAAACAGAGTTAGTAATGTTAATGAACGTTACATATTTAGATTGATCCAATTCAAGAGCATATAAATAAAGATATGAAACTGATATAGAACATTATTTATTCCTTATGATAAAGCAAAATATTAAATAACAGACCCAATAAGACTGACTTAGCGACTGAATGACAAACAATCCCAATAACTTATTGAAAATAATACTAGGGACTGCTATATTATTATTATATGCCAGTTTCTTGATTACGTAAGCAAAGGACTATCACAATGATTCACAAAGGTTTGAGGAGAGTAACATAAACTCTCTCTAACTCCTCCGATGTTAAACAATCTCACAGTACGTGTGGCTGTGTAGTAATACAACACCAAAGCTGATCCACATTCCCCCCTCAACCACCAATCCGTTGCGAAAACAAGTACAAGCTCCCCTGTTAATGTTCCAATGTTACCTACACAACAAAACTTCCATTTCCCAACATCATCTCCCAAGCTAGGAATCACAACAGGCACTTCCCTCCATTGTCTTGCATTTTCATCTCTAGCGTACATCTCATACACTCTTGTGCCATCTTTCCTGACATCCCATAAGTCTTTCACTAAGCAAACTTCCCCGTTATAGTTCACCAATCTATCACCAACGTCCGCAAGTTTTACTCCTTGAGGCATGTCAATAATTGTGAAATTCTCAGACCTCAACTCGAAGCTTATTATCATAGATTTATCCATCTCCACAAGGGACTTAGCTCCATAGTACAAAACCCCATTCAGGCATAGTGATTCAGTAACTGGGACATGATTATGCTGACATTCGATCACTCTCCAAGGTTTTTCTTTGATATTCTCGTGGAGCTCGGCTAGCTCAACCGTGAAAACTTGTTGTGGCACCTTACGCGGAAATTCACATGGAAACATGAAATCATGATGAATTTCTGAGATTAAAAACTTGAAAACTTTAGTAACTTCATCGTATCCGAAAAAACAAATTATTCTCGACTGTCCTACTGGGTAAAGCCGTTCGCATTCCGGTAAAGCCTTAACCTTGCTGGTGGCCGGGTTGCATAGCACAAACTTAGTTTCATCTCCAAGACAGACCAAACCTCGCTGGGGTGCAGAAAACATACAATAGTCGCCGTATGGTGGTGACGAGACAACCATCTTTTTTAGACCAGACGACAACAACGGTTCCTCTTGTTGATAAACAGACTGAAACAGGGGTTTGGGGAAGATCCGAGTGTATTCGAACAGCAAGCGAGGTCTTGTAATGGATTGGGCCCAGTAAAGCCTTTCGAATCCTTCTTCACGGATTGTTGATCTCCATTTCCTGCACTCAACCAAAGATTCAAGAGGCACACGTAGCATAATTTGTTCCAGCATATTATCAGGAAGTTTTGAGATATCCATTCTTTTTCTTTCTCTTTTTCTCTATTAATTGTTATAAGATATCAGTAATGATTCAAGACCAAACACACACAAAGTGCAAATTTATAGAAAATATTCAGACAATAAGACAAAAACAGAGAATGAATGGTAGTTGAGTTAAGTTTGTTACAACAGCTTTTGATCAGTAGGTGACTTTAACTTAGCTTATTGAGTAAGTACTTCTAACGCGTTCATCTTTAAATTTTCAAAGCAAGAAACTAGATAAAAACTATATACAAAAACAGAGAATGAATGATAGTTGAGTTAAGTTTGTTACAAAAGCTTTGATCAGTAGGTGATTTTAACTTAGCTTATTGAGTAAGTACTTCTAACGCGTTCATCTTTAAATTTTAAAACAAGAAATTAGATAAAAACTACATTCAATTACGACCTAAAATAGAGAAAGAAATTAGATAAAATTCCATTCAATTACATCTAATCTAACTAAACCTGTTGGTTAATAAAATAATAAACACATAGGTTCGTTATCAAGCATGGGTTTACCATAGTTTATCAAGCATGGGTTTTGTTAATTATAGTGAGTTCTTCTATGTCAGAAGATGAACGTTTTCTTTTTACAACTGCGTACAAAGTAAAAATCTTTTTCTTATAAAATTGTTATCTATTGTTGAAGTCATGTAGCTTATATGACTAGACACGTGTGTATAAAATGAATATCTCTCCACAGGCTAAGGATTCAATGTAGAATAATGGAAGGCTTGGATTATATTTTCGTATCTGTGTTTAATTTGATTAAAAATGAGATTTTTGGGACTTATGTGAATATGCGTAGCTCCTTGTAAGTTCAGTTTTATTGGTGATATATTCACTTTTGGTGGTTTCTTTGTTTTTTTTTTCCAGACTTATCCAAACCCGTTGCAGTCGAATCCTGCTTATTCAGTAGTTAGGTAAGTTGAGAGATTATTATTATTATTATTACTTGTAATCTTCATTGGTTTGACAGATGATTGATTGTGTCCGTGTTCTGTTGTGATTTTCAGGCAGTAGTTTGTTGATGAGGACGATACAGTCCCACAAAAGGTGAATTTATGAATATGAGATTGAAAAAAAAACTAAAAATCTGAGATCCTTATGCGTAGGCCATATGTGCATTACTCGAGGAGATGGATGCTGACTAAAATGGGTTAAATTAGTTTTTGTTTAATGCATCGTTTGGTTGTAAGACTTTGAATGTTGTCTCGAGGGGCAGTTGTTGCAAGTTTCTCTTGAACCTTTGGACTCTTTCACAATTATTGGTATCAACAGTTTCTTCACTACTTGTAATTACTATCGGTTGCAGTTCCTTATGAACGTTTTTTATGGGATAGACTCGGACGAAATATGAAGTTGATCTATCGGTCGATGCGGCGAAGAAAAAACAATCCCTGACGAAATATGAAGTTGATCTATCGGTCTTGGATGGTAAACACACGGTTGAGGTTCCGATGGAAGTTGTCGAGGAAGCTAATCATCTTTGGGATGACTTTGTAATGGCGAGATTCCTGGATACATCTCTTGACTTGTGGTGATGCCGTAGTGAACATTAATAAAGAGATGTTCACTTTAAATCCCTTTGCGGGTGAGCAAATGAATAAACAATAGAAACCGTATACTTATCTTACTATTTAACATTTTTCAGTGTTCATCTTAATGGTGATATTAAGTAGAATGAAGTAACACAAATCATGATTTATTTTTTGGTCTTATATGTTTGTTTCTAAGATTCCTTGGTGTTTATCGTCTCTCTTATACATTTTCTTATAGTTTGATATATGCATCTATACCTTTTTCAGTATATCTTAGCTAATTTCATATATGTATCTTTGGCAATTTGTAAATTTACACATACTATTGTTTTTGGGGCAATTCTCTAAAATAGCCATTTTTTAAGTTTTTATCACAAAAATAGACCTTAAAAATTAAAATGACCAAAATAGCATTTTTATTTTGAAATTTTTAAGTTTTCTTAATATTTTTAAATTCGAAATCCTATCCCCAAAACCCACTCCTCAACTATAAACAAAAAAATATAGAATTAGTTAACTCAAGGTATATAAATATATATTTAATAAAACATTTAAGTGATATTTTGGTCATTTTAATTGTTAAGGTCTATATTTGTGATAAAAAAAATTTTAGGTCTATTCTAGTCATTTTCTATAATTATTTTGGATTAATATTTTTCTAAAAATAGAAATTATTATTAATTAGGAAAATTGTTATTAAATATAAATGTTTAATAAGAATTTTTCCAACGCATGTCACAATCTTTAAAAAGTTTTTTAACCTATTGCTTCATCATGTTAATTGTTAATTCTAAAAAAAATAAGCTTTATATAATAAGAGAAAACCATGTAGGGTTTCCTAGTCTTCAACGGTTATATATACAATATACGTAAAGATTCTGATCTGAGGCCGGCGCAAGGGATAAGAGAGAGACAAAAAAAAACCTAGTTACAGTCACAGATTGAAACAATAATGACGAAGATCTTAGATCTTCCAGTAAATTTGGTAGAGGAGATTCTCTCTAAGGTCCCCTTGAAATATATGAGAGCAGTGCGATCAACTTGCAAAGAGTGGAACACTTTATCCAAGAGTCAAAGCTTCTCAAAGATGCACATTGATAAAATAAGCGCAGATGAGTCGTCGTCTATGATGGTCGCTGCCTTGATGGGTCAGAATCTATATCTCATGAATGTCGTTCTCGTCGTTAAGGAAAATCCAGTTATAGAGCGTATAGGTAAGCTTCCTTGCAAAATATCTGAAGTTTTCCACTGCGACGGTTTATTGTTATGCGTCTTGAAAGATAATTATACCAAAGTTATCGTTTGGAATCCGTATTGGGGCCAAACCAGTTGGATAGAATGTAGATATTCTCACCGCCTAAAAGGACGGGACGAGTTCTGTTACGCTCTAGGATACGAGGACAAAGGATCTTCTTGTCGCAACTACAAGTTCTTGAGGTTTATAGATCAGTGCGTTGGCTATGAGGTCAAAGACCAGTTTTTATGGTACGAGATATACGATTTCAAGTCTAGTTCATGGAAGGATCTTGATGTTAATACTCCACACTGGCATATATTTTATTATCAGCGTAGCGTGTCTCTCAAGGGAAACACTTACTGGCCTGCTTCAAAAAGGAGAGAAGACGCGCTTGAGAATCACATAATCTGTTTCGATTTTACAAGTGAGAGTTTTGGTCCTCTTCTGCGTCTGCCGTTTGACGTTAAGCACTATAACAAAGTGACTTTATCGTGTGTTAGAGAAGAGAAGCTTGCGGTTTTGTTTGATCACGGAGGAGTTCCAAAGGAGTCTGAGATATGGATTACTACTAAGATTGAGGCTGGAAAGGTGTCGTGGAGCAAGTTCTTCAGAGTGGTGGACACGAAATGGGAGTATCTGATTACAAGTGATTATTTTTTCATTGACGAGGAGAAGAAAGTCGCCATGAGCTTTGAAAAAGCACGATCCAAAACATTTAACATCGTTGGAGAGGATGGATACTTCAAAAAGCTGCAACTCACAAAATGTTTAGGCAGAGACATAGACTGGATAAATTATGCTTGCTCTTATGCTCCAAGCCTAGCTAAAATCAAGCAGCCAGGAGGTAAACAAATCGATCAGTTAGAAAGGCAACGATATGATAAAAAAAACATGGTGCGTAGCAGGGTTTTGTTGCAATCTGCAAGAAGAAGAAGGCAAAGGAAGAAGCAACGACATGCTTAATAGTCTTTCATTTTTCTCTGATTAGCTCTTTTGATGCAGCATGTCCTTATTAAAAGATGTCGTTTTAGTGTTGGTTTTCCCTTTTTTTTCCTATATGTAATGCTTGAACAACCGGCGGGTTTCCTTGTCGACCCGAAAGATTGATTATTTTATAATAAATATAATTTTTTTACTGATTAAAATACTATTAAGTTTTTTAAAAGTTTTTAAAAATATGTTTTTTAGAAATTTTATAATATAATTTTTTTGATATTTTAATTTAAAATTTTAATTGAATATTTTATTTTTATATTTTTAGTGTTTTTGAAAAAAATTATTATCCTCGCCCGTAACTACAAAAGATAACTGTAACCAATTTTTTACCAATTTTTGAATTTTAAAGATTTAGAGCAATTTAACAGTTGCTATTAAGCAAAAGTTACGGGTGATGGCAGGAGAACCAGCCCTTAATTCGTTTGGATTCTTTATTAAGCCTAAGAGCATTCGTACATTTGTCGGATTGCTGTCTTAAAATCATGAACTTTCGAGTTCTCTTGTCACTGTCCTCCCCCAAGTTCGATACTTTCTCCTTGCTACGTCGTTTAAGTTTCTCCACCGACTTGAGTCAGCGAATTTCGACCAATCATGATCGGATACACAACAGTCTCCTCGAAATATGTTTGGAGCAATGCAAACTATTCAAGAGCCGCAAGATGTTCGACGAAATGCCTCAGAGAGTTTTACACGCCTTAAAAATCGGCAAAGCTGTACATTCCCGGAGCTTGACACTCGGAATCGATTCACAAGGGAGATTAGGTAACGCCATTGTGGATTTATACGCCAAGTGTAAGGAAACGGCTTATGCTGAGAAGATTTTCGACTCTCTTGAAAAGGATGTAATGGCCTGGAACTCGATGTTATCGATGTATTCCAGCATGGGGTTACCAAGAAAGGTCTTGAGGAGTTTCGTGTCGTTGTTTGAAGATTTGGTGTTTCCAAATAAGTTTACTTTTTCGATTGTTTTATCAACGTGTGCTAGGGAGACTAATGTAGAGTTTGGGAGACAGATACATTGTTGTATGATAAAGACTGGTTTTGAAAGAAACTCGTATTGTGGAGGGGCTTTGGTTGATATGTATGCTAAGTGTGACTTTATAGGTGATGCTAGACGAGTTTTCGATGGGGTAGTGGAGCCTAATACAGTTTGCTGGACATGTTTGTTTTCTGGCTATGTCAAGGCTGGTTTGCCAGAGGAAGCAGTCATAGTTTTTGAAAAGATGAGGGATGAAGGTCATCGTCCTGACCATCTAGCTTTTGTGACTGTTATAAATACTTACATCAGTTTAGGGAAGCTGAAGGAAGCACGTATGTTGTTTAGGGAGATGCCGAGTCCTGATGTGGTAGCGTGGAATGTAATGATATCAGGGCATGGGAAGCGAGGATGTGAGATGGTAGCTGTTGAGTACTTTCTCAGTATGAGGAAATCTGGTGTTAAGTCCACTCGTTCTACACTTGGAAGCGTTTTAAGTGCTATTGGAGTTGTAGCGAATCTTGATCTAGGTTTGGTAGTTCATGCGGAAGCTATTAAACAAGGGCTTGCCTGTAATATATATGTTGGGAGTTCTTTGGTCAGCATGTACTCGAAGTGTGAGAAAATGGAGGATGCTGCGAAAGTTTTTGAAGCTTTGGAGGAGAGAAATGACGTCTTGTGGAATGCCATGATAAGAGGTTATGCACATAACGGTGAGGCCCACAAGGTTATGGAACTGTTTATGGATATGAGATACTCTTGTCATGACGTTGACGATTTTACATTTACAAGCCTGTTAAGCACTTGTGCTGCATCGCATGATCTGGATATGGGCAGCCAGTTTCACTCAGTTATCATCAAGAAGAAATTAGCGGATAACTTATTCGTAGGAAATGCATTAGTAGACATGTATGCAAAATGCGGAGGTCTAGAGGATGCAAGGAAGATTTTTGAGCGCATGTGTGGTCGTGATAATGTATCTTGGAACACAATGATTGGTGGTTATGTCCAAGATGAGAATGAGGACGAGGCTTTTAACTTGTTCAAGAGGATGAATTCTTGCGGTATGGTGTCTGATGGATCATGTTTAGCTAGCACACTTAAGGCATGTGCAAATGTTCGTGGTCTTTACCAAGGAAAACAAGCTCATTGCCTCTCTGTTAAGTGTGGCTTAGACACAGATCTTCATGCTGGTAGCTCGCTCATTGACATGTATGCCAAGTGTGGGGTCATCGAAGATTCACGTAAAGTTATCTCTTCTATGCTTGAGTGGAGCGTTGTGTCGATGAATGCTCTCATTGCAGGCTATTCTCAGAACAACTTGGAAGAAGCTGTAGCTCTCTTTCGAGAAATGCTGAACAGAGGTGTTAGCCCATCTGAAATCACGTTTGCCACCGTTGTTGAAGCTTGTGATAAACCAGAAAGGTTGGCCCTAGGAACACAATTCCATGGTCAGGTAATTAAGAGGGGGGCCTCATATGAAGGTGAATATCTAGGGATTTCCCTTTTGGGCTTGTACATGAACTCATGTAGAATGGTGGAGGCGTGTGTTCTTTTCTCAGAGTTGTCAAGCCCTAAGAGTATCGTTCTTTGGACGGGGATGATGTCAGGGCATAGCCAGAACGGTTTCTATGAGGAAGCGTTGAAGTTGTACAAAGAAATGCGTCATGATGGTGCTTTACCTGACCAGGCAACATTTGTGACTGTTCTTAGAGTGTGCTCTGTTCTTTCCTCATTAAGAGAAGGTAGAGCGGTTCATTCTCTTACCTTCCACTTGGCTCATGACATGGACGAGTTAACATCTAACACCCTAATAGATATGTATGCTAAATGTGGGGACATGAAAAGTTCATCACAAGTTTTCGATGAAATGAAGCGTGGAAGCAACGTTGTCTCATGGAACTCCATGATCAATGGATATGCCAAAAATGGTTACGCTGAAGATGCCCTTAAGATATTTGATTCCATGAGACAATCTCATATCACGCCAGATGAAATCACATTCCTAGGTGTTCTTACAGCTTGTAGCCATGCAGGGAAAGTGTCAGAAGGACGGAAGATTTTTGAGATGATGATTAGTCAATATGGTATTGAAGCGCGTGTAGATCATGTAGCTTGTATGGTTGATCTTCTTGGAAGATGGGGTTATCTTGAAGAAGCCTACGACTTCATAGAATCACAAAACCTGAAACCAGATGCAAGACTATGGTCATCGCTTCTTGGTGCATGTAGGATCCATGGAGATGACACTAGAGGAGAAATAGCTGCTGATAAGCTCATTGAACTTGAACCACAAAACTCGTCAGCTTATGTTCTTCTTTCGAACATATATGCCTCACAGGGACGCTGGGAAAAGGTCAATGCTTTGAGGAAAGACATGAACGACAGAGGAGTCAGGAAGGTACCTGGATGTAGCTGGATTGATGTGGGACAGATTAAACACATTTTTGGTGCAGGAGACAAATCTCATTCTGATGTAGGCAAAATAGAGACGTTCCTTGAAGATATATATGATTTGGTGAAAGATGATGTCATCGTCAACCATGATATCATGGAAGATGCTTCTCTTGATTGTATACAATAACATGGAAACTACTAAACTAAATTAGAAACTCAAATTTATACAAAGTTGACCATGTTTTTTCGCCTTTTGGTGATGTGGACCAAGTTTTCATCTAGCCTTAAGGCTTTATTCTCTGCGTTCCTTGAGTACTATCAGGTAAACTCAGGTTAGTGTGCTACCAGGCTAAGGTTTTACGAAACATAACTAAATTATCACTTTTCTTACCAGGCATGGCTGGAGATGATAATCCAAGTGATGGAGGAGATGGAGCCATTCCAGGTAAATAAAGCTAACTTATCAGAATCTAAAACTGATAATTGTGACAAAAAAGAAACAACTGTGAGAAATTATAAGTCTATCATAACTAACTAACTAAGTAAATTTATGGTAGAAACAATTGGTATGAACTAGCTAAGTGTCTTACAACTAACCAAATGTGTGGTTAAAAGAAACAAATCTATAGAACTCTAATTAAGTAAATTTGTGTAAAAATAAATCTATGAAAAAATAAATTTGTGAGATGAACAAGCTTAACTAAAATATTACCTCCTCTTTTAGAGAGTTTCCTCTCAACTTCTTTTTTAACAATCTATCAGAGAGAAAGTGTTAAAATCTTTTTGTTGTACGATATTATCCGATCTGTTACATTGATTTTGTTTCCGCAAGTCGGATTTTGATTTTCGCTGTGGCTATTTTGTTGTGTGTTTATTCAGTTTTAAACCGGGGCTGTGTTTTAAAACTAGCCTTTTGCTTGCTCTTCTCGGCAGCTCTGCCTTCAACGGAGTTTGTCTATTGTTGTTGAGTTGGATAATCTCTTGTTTCATCAGAGTATAAAACTATCAATGCACTTTCATTTTAGATTCATTCAGAAATTGTGTGTGTAATTCTTCTTTAAACTCCAAACTCTAAGTTACATTGGTTCATCTTGTTTTAGAGTTTTTCTCAAATTTAGATTTTATACATTTGACCTGCAATCTATTGTTTCATGAACTATTTTATAGAGAGGAACCGAGTTTATCTCTATCACTTTGGTGGCACGACGGAACTTCATAGTTTAGTCTCAAGACTTGACATGTGGACTTTAGGTTTCCTCTTCTTGTTACGTATGGACAATACGTGTCTATTTTTGTATAACTAAGTTGGACATGTATTGGGTCTCTCTGTATTGCTGTACTTACTGGTCAGATAGAGGTTGTGATTTGGTTTATATACTCTATTTCATCTGATCTGGTTTTTAACTTTGATCAACAATGGCAGCAATGACGATCGCTGACTTTCAAAATTGCTTTATCTTCATCCTTCTATGCCTTTTCTCAATCCTTTCTTACACTTTCTTTTTCAGGAAACAGAAGAACTCACGACTTGGCTTTTATCTGCCTCCCAGCCCTCCTTCTCTACCAATCATTGGCCATTTTCACATTATCCTCTCTCTTCTGATCCACAAATCTTTACAGAAACTCGCTTCTAAGTATGGACCTCTCCTCCATCTTCGCATCTTCAGCTTCCCTATAGTCCTAGTCTCCTCTGCTTCAGTGGCTGAAGAGATCTTCAGAGCGCAAGACGTGAACGTGTCCTCCCGTAACCTCCCTACTAGCGAGGGGTCACTTTACTATGGATCTTCTGGCTTTGTTACCGCACCTCATGGAGATTACTGGAAGTTTATGAGAAAGCTCATCACCACCAAGCTCCTCGGACCACATGCACTTGAGAGGTCACGAGGCATCCGTGCTGATGAGGTGAAGCTGTTTTACTCAAACTTGCTAGATAAGGCGATGAAGAAGGAGAGCGTTGAGATTAGTGAAGAAGCAATGAAACTAAGTAACAACAGCATGTGCAAGATACTCATGGGGAGGGTTTGTGTAGAGGATGCGGAGAGAGTCAGAGGCTTAGTGGCAAAGACAGATTCCTTGACGAAGAAACTTTTCTTGGCGTCTGTCTTGCGCAGACCGCTTGAGAAGCTTGGGATCTCACTTTTTAAAAAAGAGTTAATGGGTGTTTCCAACAGGTTTGATGATGTACTAGAGAGGTGCCTTGTGGAACACGAAAAGAAACAAGAGGGTATGGATTTGATGGATGTGTTGATAGAAGCATACAGAGACGAAAACGCGGAGTATAAAATCACTAGGAACCATATCAAGTCCTTGTTAGTGGTAAATGCATGCTCCTCTCTCTTTACTTAACTGGTATCAGCATTGGTTGCCTTGACTAAGAAACGTTTGCTACTACGAACAGGATCTTTTCATTGCAGGCAGTGAAACTACGTCCAACATTATAGAGTGGATTATGGCCGAGCTCATAAACAACCCTAAGATTCTTGAGAAACTGAGAGGAGAAATCGATTTGGTTGTAGGGAAAACAAGGTTGATTCAAGAAACTGATCTACCAAACCTTCCTTATCTACAAGCGATCATGAAGGAAGGACTGAGATTGCACCCACCGGTGCCTATTTCGGTAAGAACCTTCCAAGAAGGGTGTGAGGTTAAAGGGTTCTACATACCAGAGAAGACAACACTACTTGTTAATGGTTATGCTGTAATGAGAGATCCTGATGTCTGGGAAGACCCTGACCTGTTTAAGCCAGAGAGGTTCTTAGGTTCTTCTTCACGATCAGGACAACAAGAGGACAAGACGAGAGAGAAAGTTCTGAAGTACATTCCTTTCGGAAGTGGAAGGAGAGGGTGTCCCGGATCAAACTTAGCTTATCTCTTTGTAGGAACAGCAGTTGGAATAATGGTGCAGTGTTTTGACTGGAGAATCAAAGAGGAGAGAGTTAACATGGATGAAGCTGCTGGTGCAGTTACGTTGAGCATGGCTCATCCACTTCACGCCACTCCTGTTGCTCGAACCAGAATCCTTTTAACTTAAACTTCTCGAGTTACCTTCTCATGATTGAACATGTTTCCCGGTTTGTTTGTTAATCATGGGTAAATAAATACTTAAAATGTCTGATTTAACATTGTCATGTTTCAGACAGTGATAAATATTGAACCAGTTAGTTAATGTCTGATCTAACGGTTTGAAACTTCCAGACAGTAACTAACCAGACGAGTTAACCTCTTAACACCCTACATGTATGCTAAAAATGGGGACATGAAAAGTTCATCACAAGTTTTTAATGAAAGGAAGGTTAGAAGCAACGTTGTCTCATGAAACTCCATGATCAGTGGATATGCTAAGAATGGTTACGCTGAAGATGCCCTTGAGATGTTTGGTTCCATGAGACAATCTCATACCATGCAGATGAAATCACATTCATAGGTGTTCTTACAGCTTGTAGCCATGCAGGGAAAGTGTCAGGAGGACGGAAGATTTTCGATATGATGGTTAATCATTGTCAATCAGATATCCTGAAACATGCTTCTCATGATTGTATCCAATAAACATGGAAACTACAAAGCTAAAGATCAGTTTATAAAATCAGTTACTAAATTAGGAACTCATATTGCATACAAAGGTGAACATGTTATTTTGCCTTTTGGTGATGTGGACCAAGTTTTCATCTAGCCTTAAGGCTTGATTCTCTGCGTTCCTTGAGTACTATCAGGTAACTCAGGTTAGTGTGCTACCAACGCTAAGGTTTGACTGGAAACATGACTAAATCTATCATTGTTCTTGCCAGGCATGGCTGGAAATGACAGTTCAAGTGATGGAGAAGATGGAGACATTTCAGGTAAACAAAACTGTGGAAGCTAATTTACCAGAATTAAAAAGTAATAATTGTGAAAATAATTGAAACAAATATGTGAGAAACTTACAAGTCTATCATAATTAAGTAAATTTATGGTAAAAAAATAAATAAACAAATTTGGTATGAACTAGCTTAAGTGGGGTTATTAGTTGGTATATTTTATGGATTTGGAAATCCAAACTAAATCTAGTGTCTTCTATGATTTTAAAATTCATATCGTAATCATATGTTATTGGTTTAGTGATTTATAAATTCTTATTCAAATTAGGTGTTATTCAATGTGCGAAATTAGTAATGAATTTGATTTCATAATGGATTTGAATAGATTCTTTGTTAAGAGTACAAAGACAAAAATTCAAAGAAAAACTTTCGGATTTGAAAATACTAATTAAAATTCATATGTTAGATTTTTAAAATCTGTATATTTTACTTTTACATTACTCTATGGATTTCTAAATCAGTTGAAATATATAAATCAATAAAATCTTTTAAAAACTAACCAAATGTGTGGTTAAAAGAAACAAAGCTTATAGAACTCTATTTTTAAAAAAAAATTATGAATAAAAAATAAATTTGTGAGATGAACATGCTTAACTAATTTATTTAATTATTTACTTGATTATGGGTTGTCACATAGAGCTTGTGATTTGGTTTATATACTCTATCTTGCATCGGGTTTCTCACGTTAAGCAACAATGGCAGCAATGATGATCGTTGACTTTCAAAACTACTTCATTTTCATCCTTCTATGCATCTTCTCAGTCCTCTGTTACCATCTCTTCTTCATGAAACAAAAGGAGTCAAAACTTAGCTTTGATCTGCCTCCAAGCCCTCCTTCACTACCAATCATTGGCCACCTTCACATCATCCTCTCTCTTCTAATCCACAAATCTTTACAGAAACTCTCATCTAAGTATGGACCTCTCCTCCATCTTCGCATCTTCAGCTTCCCTATAGTCCTAGTCTCCTCTGCTTCAGTGGCTGAAGAGATCTTCAAAGCGCAAGACGTGAATGTGTCCTCTCGTAGCCTCCCTACTAGCGAGGGGTCCCTCTACTTTGGATCTTCAAGCTTCATCACCGCACCTCATGGAGATTACTGGAAGTTCATGAAGAAGCTCATCACCACTAAGCTCCTCGGACCACATCCACTTGAGAGGTCACGAGGTATACGTGCTGATGAGGTGAAGCTGTTTTACTCAAACTTGTTAGATAAGGCAATGAAGAAGGAGAGAGTTAATATTGGTGAAGAAGCAATGAAGTTGACTAACAACAGCATGTGCAAGATACTCATGGGAAAGGTTTGTGTAGAGGATGCGGAGAGAGTTAGAGGCTTAGTGGCTAAAACAGACTCCTTAACAAAGAAAATTTTCTTGGCGTCTATCTTGCGCAGACCGCTTGAGAAGTTTGGGATCTCACTTTTCAAAAAGGAGTTGATGGGTGTTTCCAACAGGTTTGATGAGGTGCTTGAGAGGTGCCTTGTGGAACACGAAAAGAAACAGGAGGAGAAAGGTGTGGATGTGATGGATGTGTTGATAGAAGCATATAGAGACGAAAACGCAGAATTTAAGATTACTAGGAACCATATCAAAGCTTTGTTAGTGGTAAATGCATCTTCCTGATCTCTCTTTAATTAAATGGTATAATCACCATTGCTTGTCTTAACTACTACTATGAACAGGATCTTTTCATTGCAGGGAGTGAAACTACGTCCAACATTATAGAGTGGACCATGGCTGAGCTCATAAACAACCCTAAGATTCTTGAGAAACTGAGAGGAGAGATAGATTTGGTTGTAGGGAAAACAAGGTTGTTTCAAGAAACTGATCTACCAAACCTTCCTTATTTACAAGCAGTTTTGAAGGAAGTAATGAGATTCCACCCACCGGTGCCTCTTGTGGTAAGAACATTCCAAGAAGGGTGTGAGGTTAATGGGTTCTACATACCGGAGAAGACAACACTTGTTGTGAATGGTTATGCTATAATGAGAGATCCTGATGTTTGGGAATATTCTGAGGAGTTTAAGCCAGAGAGGTTCTTGGCATCTTCACAAGAAGAGGACAAGATTAGAGAGACAGTGTTGAAGTATATTCCTTTTGGAAGTGGAAGAAGAGGTTGTCCTGGATCAAATCTAGCTCATCTTTTTATAGGAACAGCTGTTGGAGTAATGGTACAGTGTTTTGATTGGAGAATCGAAGAGGAGAGAGTAAACATGGATGAAGCTGCTGGTGCAGTTTCGCTGAGCATGGCTCATCGAGTTCACGCCACTCCTGTTACCCGAAACCGAGACCTTTTAACTTAACTTGTAGACTTGCTTTCTCTTGTTTCTTTTCAATTCATTGACTGAGCATGTTTCCCAATTTTGTTATTTACCATTGGTTTTGTTAGCCTTGGATAAATAAAAGGCTGTTATTGGTTTTTATTATCGTTTTAGTTCAAATTGTTTAAGCTTAATATTACGTAAATTAACTAATTCATCCATCTAACAATAATAGATATTATATAATTTTGGTGCCATATGAAAATGAAAATTTTGAAGGAAAAATAGTTAGTCATTTAGTTATAATTTTATTTCATGATATATAGGGAAAATGAAAATATAATTGGTATTATAAGAAACTGATATTAAACTATGTTGTGTGTAATTTAGTTAAATTTTATATCATGATTTATAGGTTTACAGTTTTTAAAATTACTGGTAAAACGGTTTTAAAATTTTAAGCTATGGTGAAAAATATGTGTAGTTTTTATGCTATATAAAAACTATAGTGAAAAACTGTTTTAACTGTGTGTAGTTTTTATGCTATATATAAAAAAAAAAAAAAATTGAAAGGTGAAATAGGTGGTTAACCCTTTCTGATTTAATGGTTTGATGTCTCAGACGGTAATAGTAAACCGGTTAAGGTCTGATCATCAATATCTTCAACTTCTTCTTCTTCCTCAAAACCGGTTAAGGTCCCCTGCCATCGTCGTGAAGATTACACTTCACTGACTCAATCTCTGCAATCAAGAAAGAGACAGAGATAAGAGTTTGATTCCTTCATCACAGCTTATGCATCACTCCCAACTCCTCCACACTCCAGCCGACTCGGCGAACAATCAGCCTGAGCCAGACGCGCCGCCGAAGCAAGTGGCTCAAGCCATGGAACGACTCAACCAAGCTTCCCGAGCCATCGCAGATATTCGTCTCGGCGCTGACCGTATATTCGAAGCAATGTTCCTAACTTCTCATCCTCGCAACAGCACCGATATGTCTCTCCAGCTCTTGCTCAAAAAAGACGCCTCCATGCGTCAACACCTTCAAGATCTCAGTTCAATTGGTACTACTTAAAATGACATTACCTTCATGTTTTTTAAAGATCAAGAATCTATATTGTTTTGTTTGGATGTGTTAGGAAAGAAGTTGGAAGAGTCAGGGGTTCTCACTGAGTCTCTGAGGTTAAGAAGTAACACGTGGGATCTTCACATGCCGCTTGTTTGTCCAGATGGTGCAGTTGTTGCTTATGCTTGGAAGAGACAGCTTGCTGGCCAAGCTGGTGCTTCTGCTGTTGATAGAACTAGGTATCTTTCACTTTGTGTGTATAGAGATTTTGAGTATAGCTAAGTGTTTAGGTTTGATTCTAACAACTTAGAAGTGAATCATTAACCTTATTGAATCATGCAATTTGGAGTGTCATTATAAATGTTATGCATTAATTCTTCATTTGCTCTTTCTCTTGTGAATTATTTGGTTTGTTAAAGCTTTTGAATATCTAACACTATTAAAAGGGGAATATCCTCATCAGTTAGCATGTCCACGTGGGATAAAATATTCAAACCAATCAGAAAACAGTATTTTGCCACGTCACAATAACTTTCTCTACTAAGTGGGTTTTCTACGTTGGTCTCTAAAAATTAAATCATGGCCCATGTAAAAGCCATACCTAATTTCCTAAACAATACGACTCTTCCTCTCCGTCTTCTACGTCTTCTTTTCCTGTAATCGTTGTTACAGACTGATCAAACCGGAAACCTCCACAGAAAGAGACCATGCTATAACCATAAAGTCTGATAAATCCACCGGAAAGGTGGGAGTATACAATATTTTTGATGCTTTGTGTCGACTATATGATTTGATTTCTGATTGCATTTGTAGATATAATTTTTTTCTGTCTATTATTGTTTGTTTCCTGGTGGATGTGGATATTGAGTTATATTAAGTTATGTACACCATCATATTTCACAGTACCTTGACTAAGACATGAACCAAGATCTCTTCGTCTCAGGGAGGCTGGAGCCAACATAACCAAACTGATAAAGAGGAAAGAAGGCTGATCATCAACATAACACAAGGGTTTAACAATCACTCACTTGAAATACTCACGATCTCAATCCAACAAACAGATGTGTAAGTTACAAGTCCTATCTTTTCTGATCCCCTAAATTTGGTACATCTCCAGTCCGTGTGAGTATTTATGTTTGAAGGATAATTTCTGGTGTTATTGTGTTGTCGCGATCTTATGTTGCATCCCCTTTGTTTCCATCATAGGCAGAAACTCTTAGAATTTGGTGAGTTAAAGAGAGGTTATATATCATTCTTTGATATTGAGAGACATGAAACCGTGAATTCCAGGTGGGGTTTAGACTCTAGACCTTGGAAAAGAGCAGATAAGGTTGGTAAAGGTTTGTGACCTTAGACATTGGTATGGACACAACCTTCATTTTTACTACAAGTAGCTCCACTGCCAGATCAGAGACCCTTCTACTGGTAACTCCTTCTCACTGACTCATTTTATCCATTTATGTCAAAAGATGTGAGCCAATAAAAAAACTTAGATGTGTGTTTGATTGAAATGTTTCAGGTTTGATACTGGCAAGGGGAAAGAAGTAACCTTTGTGGAGAAGTGTCTTGATTGAAACTTGCGCAACAATGCATTAAGTACTTTTGTCTGGTTAGTATCTATTTATTTTTGTTGTCATGATTATGCTTGGTGTATATGAAAAGGCAAGCTTCTGAGGTTGTTGTGAAAGATGGGAAATTTTCTACAAGAATAGTGGACAAAATGCTTCAAACTTCTTCTATTAAAGATAGGGATTCCTCATGATTTTGGTGCTCAGCACATCAAAAGTGTATTTTTTTTTGGGAAGAGGGTACGTTTCAATATTATAGATTTGTGGTTTAGAATGTTGTTCTTAAGGCTGTTTGCGGTTACAACGAGCGAGAGCCAGTGGCGGAACTACAGCATGACTAAGAGGGGCAGTTGCCCACCATGACTTTTTAAAATTAGTGTATTTTTGTATTGATTTTTTTATAATGCCCCACTTGATACTTCAATTTATTACAGATATTAAACATATTTTTGTAGTTCTGCCCCGGACAACAATTGTTTCTAGATCCGCCCCTGGCGAGAGCGGAACATACTTAGCATGTTTAAGGATGCATCACGATCAGACACATTACAAAGTGGATAACAGCACTGCTATCGTCAGTCTTGACTGGGATGCTGTTGCTAAGAAAGAAAATATCGAGGTAATTCTTAATTGATTACTAACTAATTAATAGTTCATTTCTATTTCTTGATATATGGATTTTGTTTTGTGTTTGTGTTGTGTTCTTAATTATGAAAATTGCAGGGAAGCATCTATGAGGGAGATAAATGAGAAGACTAATAAGAGAGTTGCGCAACTTAGCTTTGTGTCTTTAGGGCTCTGCCTTATCGTGTCAGTTTTTCAAGTTTGGCATCTCAAATGCTTCTTTCTCAAGAAGAAGCTTATCTAAGTTCATGGTTCTATATATTTTTCCTACTTTTCTCCGAGACTTTAACCCTAAGATAGCCTGGTTTTTGGATCATGTCTAGAATGCTTTTTTGACGTTATGATTTAGGTTAAACGATGGGTTAAGACAAGTCTTGCTCCAAGTTCCAGAGTTGTCGAAAAAAATTTGGACCAAAGGTGTGTTGGAGTCAGTGATATTTCCATCTATATGTCTTATGTGATCATGGAACATATATACTGAACCTTTACCTTCTCTGCAGTGGACTCCGAGAGGACTTGAACAAGCAAGGATTCCAAATTGTGGGATACGGTTGCACAACATGTATTCGGAACTCTGGTGACCTTGATAAATCAGTAGCAGCTGCTATTGAAGGAACTGGTAATAATATCCTCATGTATATGTACATACTATTAATCTTCATAAACATGCATATGACCCCTTTATTGTTGGTTCTTTCTACTTCTTTGTGTCACAGATGAGCAAAAAATGCCTATAACTAAGAGCATTTTCTTTTGCAGCTACATTTAATTACGTGGTGGACCTTTGGTTAAAGGTTTGAAAGTCCTTGATCAAACGCAGAAAACGAAGCACACCACGTGATTTTAATGTCCCTCCCGGAAAAAAAAGTCCACACGGCACACCCGACAGTCAAGAGAGCAGTCAAGTTACATTTTTAGACCTTCCGTTACGTAGTTTACTGCTTTTCAGTTGCGTTTTTGCGACTGTGGTAAGGATTTTTTTTGTTTGGGTTCTTAATGCAACAATCGATCCTTACCATTTTTTTTGTTTTAACCGATTTGATCAGAGTGTCTTACTTATTCTCGATGTTCATGTCACGTAGGTTCTTTAATCTTTGTCTTAATATCGCAAACTTTTTGTTTGTAAGCTCATTGGATGTGGTATGAATGATTATCACTTTATGACGATAACATCACTTTGACATTTTTGCTTCAATAGGCAAATGCTTACAGTTAAGGTACGTTGAAAAATAAGGCAGATGCGTCGTGGCAATGATCAGAAACAACCACTCACAGGTCAGGACTCCCCTACGATGACCACATGGCTACATTTAATAGTAATATCTTGACCACATGGTTACATAATAGACACGTAGGCTCCTGATTCTTGATTTGATTTCAGAGGTTTCTCATGTTTTTTTTTTTTATTGTAGTTCATTGTATCGAGATTCACACGATCAGAAATATGAAAAAAGGGATTCCATTATCTCTCTCATCTGGTGATTATTCAACTTATAGAAAGAGGCATTTTTGAAATGTTTTTCAGTGCAGTGGATGTGATAATTGTTAGTAGCTTCACACTACCACTCCAAGGGTTAAGTTAAACTCAGTTTAAGTTAATAAAGTTAAGTGTTATAAAAAAACAGTTCTTATTTCCACTCTATACTTTTGTCAACTTTGAAAGGAATAAGTTCACCTATTTTAATATCTTGGAAGATATTACAGGGACTCTAAGCTATAAAATATGTAGTGTTGCAACACAAGGCGTGTTATTTTGGAAGTGTCTGAACTTGAGCAAATAAAACAAAAATGATTCCAACTTAGATTTTTGTACATCACTCGCTTCATTACAATTTTTTTTTTTATTTTTTGAAAAACTTTATTACAAATTTTGGTATATAAAAGGCTAAATTATCTAAGACTAAGAGTACATAGATTATGACTAAAGTTTGATTAACTTATATTTCTCATCATATATGCTTCCAATAATAAAACTATAACAAATAATGAGTTCTTCTTTTGACATCTATTTTATTATATACATAAAACATCAACTTACAACAAAAATTTATAAAATAGTATAGATAAAACCAATTAATTGTGAGTTCTTATCATTCTAAATTTTCCAGACAAAATAACATTAATAAATCAAACAAATTTAAATCTACCAAGTTATGCTTTTCTAATTAGTACTATATATATAACATATATTTAAATATAAATATAAAAAGTCTTAATTTAATATTTTTTTTTGAAAACACAAGTAAATGAGTTGATTAAAGATATGGCTAAGAAAAACTTAATTTGTTAAAATCTAAATATAAACTATAGATATTCATATATATATATATATATATATATATATATATATTTTCTAACTTCTCACTTTTTCAAAAAGGCGAAATTAACAGAATTGCATACTTGCAATATCTAGCGCTCCTTAAATTCCAAACGGCCTTTCATAAATTCAAGAAAACATGAAATAATATAACACGTTGAAGCTCGAAATTTTTGTGTGTGATGCTTTTTGATTGTTATTTCTTTCGTTTTGGGTAGAGTCGTAGAGATGTATTAGCCGATCAATTCAAATTTAACTATAGAGAGATGTGAAGTATATAAATGAGCTCAAGAATGGGACGACAACAAAATTAGATATGCAACATGCGGTGTTATTGATCTTTTTTCAAATGAGTAATTGTGATAAAATGTATATTTTTTAACAAGTTAGGTTTTATAAAATTATTTTTTGATGAGAATATCTTTATTAAAGTCATTCCTCCTCTTTTCAAAAAAAAATCATTCCTCCTATATTTTAAATGGGTATTTTTGAAATTTGAAGTTGAGCAATGTTTGTTTACTTTCCAGTCTCAGATCTCTTAACAATTACATAATTTATATACATATGAAACTTTTGCAATATTTTATATTACACAACAAAATTAATTGTAAATTTCTAAAAGTAATTATCCGCGCGTAGCGCGGAAAAAGGATCTAGTGACTCTTAATGAGTGTAGGTTAGCTCTCAAGGCCTTTACGGATCAAAAGAAGCGTTTTTTTCCTCACATTGACGATGGAGTAAAGATGGAACCAAGATTAAAAAAACATCGTGCATCCCATTCACTATTAGAACATGGAGGAGGGGAGATGTTTGATTACAAAACATTGCCAGATATACAATCGCGTTTGGAGAAGCTGGTCACGAATGTGAAGGTGTCTACTTATGGACGGTTGAGCTGGCTCAAAAGAGCTGATTCTTTAACTGGGTCAGGCAGTGATGATGATCCTTCAGAAGCATCGAAACTTGTATTTCAGAGTTCTAGTAAGATGAGATCAGGGTTAGATGATGAGGTTTCTGATAAGGTTGCTGTAATTGAATTGTATGTTCCGTCTGTATTCAGAGCTGTGGTCTCGTTGAATCCAGCTGGTTCTGTCGATCCAGATTCTGTTGCATTCTTCTCTCCAGATGAGGTAACTGCCAAGCTTACTGCATTAGATAAAGCTAATCTTCGAAGAACGTTGTTTAAGTACTCATCTTTTTGCTTTGTCTCTTCCCTTCCTTATAGGGAGGCAGCTACTTACATGCGAGAGGCTTCTCGGCTCATCATGTTTACAAACACATCACGGTAACAGAGACTGCAACTGATATTACAAATTTGATTGATTAGGAACTTGCATTAATTAGATTTTCTTGCAGGAACATGCTTCTACAGCCTTGCAATACTTCCTCGGATTTGGTACCGGATCAGCTCTGTACTCTCTTCTGGTAAAAAGTTTGACAAGGACTCTGTCTGTCTCTGGATAACATGAACCATTACTTTCTTTTGGATCCATGGAAGTTAATTTAGACGTTTCTTATCCACCAATGCAGCTATGGGTATGCAGTTTTGAATCCCTATTTAGCAAACCGTGTAGGTAATAAGCCAGTCTATGTGATTCTTCCGCAATCTTTAACACTCAGTGTTGTTTTTTCTGTGGAATAATCTTTTCACATCTCTTATGATACAGTAAATGTGGAAGGCTATTAGCGATGGATAAGAAGTCTGCTCTAATCCTACCTCCTCTACATCGCACTTACCAAGATTTGCCTCTTGATGCCAACCTCGATGTTTGTGAAGCTTACCACTGTGGTTGCTCTCCAGATGATTCCTAATAACCCAGTCATTAAGGAGGATCAATAAGAAGGTTAGAGAACTTACGTCTTAGAACATTTTGTATGAATTTATAATATAGGCTTTACTCTTTGACCTCTCTTGTTTGTCTCCACATGTTGAGGTTAAATTTACATTAGGGCAGTTACTTTCTTTGCTTCTCTTCTCGGTTAAGACATATGGGACATAGAAGCAAGTGACAAGTGATGGATGATACATGTGAATGCTGTGTATTTCTAGACAGTTTGATCTGTGTCACGAGATGTCAGACCGAAGACTTATTTTACTCAGTTCACACTCCAATGTTAGTATGTTGTAGTAAACATCAGAGTGAGACGAAGACAAAGTGGGTCCTGAATTTTGTGCTAGCAGAAGAACGTGTTGGATTGGATTCAGAACCAGAAATAGAAAAGATGTTACTGATTTAGAACCTGTAAATCAAAAAGGATGTAGAACAACAACAAGAACTAGTTGTCTTCATTTCATAGTTGTGATTTTACATTTGAAATTGATTTCAAGTTCAAACCTGAGACTAAAGAAACACACAGAAGAGTCACTACAGCAAACAAAAGTGCTAGGAAGAAGAAGAAGAAGAATAAGATCATACATTTACACTACAACATAAGGCAAGAATCCATAACCAAACCAAACTCCTCACTACTTCTTGCCTTCTTCAATAACACTCACAGTTTTCACAGGACATTCCTCTGGAACCACCACCATTGACCACCTCACACCACATATTGTCCAGAGACACAATGCCAACATTGCCCCCATGGCTCCACACACAGCACCCAAGAACAAAACACCAAGCATCCCCCATACACACTCGTTTCTCTCCACACCCTCATCCTCCTCCGTGGATCTGTCAGCCTCCCCAGCTTCATACGGTTGAAGCGGCTCTGAATGCATCCACACCGGAGGAGGATGCCTTAACTCAAACCTCCAGGAATGGAGAAAATGTGCATTTGAAGAGTTCCCGTTTGTAGAGCTTAATCCCACCATGAACTCACCACCATTCCATAGCTCCCCCAAGTCCACGGAGAAAGAGAAAAATGGATCAAACATCTTTACCGAACCAGGTTTTCTGAACCGAACCATCATTCTCTTAGAACTCGCCTCATAGTCAATCATACAACTCAACCTCCCTCCATATTCCATCATCAAGTCACCCTCAAAGGAAAGGTTTCTAATTTGAGAAGCTTCAGGTTTACCTATCAAGATTCTTGCACGGTTTCCTTTACTGGATATATCAAACTCAAAACCAACAACTGTCTCGTTCTTTGCGTACTGAAACAGAAACCCTAAAGCAGAAGAGGAGGAACTGGTGTCTTTCTTACCGAACATTCTAAGATCAAAACTTGTCGGAACCATTACAAAACCAAGGACGTCACTAATCTCATTAGGCATTGAGAAGGAGAAGTAAGTGGAGAAAGATAACGAGTCCCTCCTCCTCTCTTTACCTGGGAAAAGCTTGATGGGTTTCTTGTAAAAGACTCCTCCCATGCTTCCACTCACTGAGTCAGTAAGCTGAATCGAAGAAGTGGAACTGAGCAGCTTCGAATCTCCAAAGAGAGAAACATCCTTGTCGAAACTCGGAGACTTTGCGAACCCATCAAATGAAAACGAGGAGTTCTCATGTGTAGCCATGGTTACATGAACCTTGAAGTATAAAACGAACAAAAAGCTTAGAGCTTTGAACAACATCGCCATAGCAAAAACTAAAATGAGAAGTGGGTGGTGTAGTCTGGATACAGAGACAAGCTCTTCTTCTTCTAGATGGAATCTTTTAGGAATTGAGAAAGAGTTTTACTTTTCAAAAAGACGAAAATAAAGGTTGTTTTCTTTGTTATTTGTATGGATTTATGTGAAGAAGCAGAAGAAGAATATTAAAATATAATCTTCTGCAGAAACCAGAGACCACGATTCGCTCTCATTCTCTTTCTTGTAGTGCTTGCTGACTAAGGTTATGTTATGCATTTAATGCTGTTTCTGATTTTTATTCAATGTTATTACATTCTCTTTTCTTTTTTTTTTGTCAAAATTACATTCTCTTTTCTTTTTTTACATTCTCTCTTGTTTTAGTCTTTGAGATTATGAAACCTATGCGCACTTTCTCCAAAACGTTAATAAAAGAAATTAAAATGCTGAGAAGAATTGTTGACGAGGCTTTGCTTCACATATTTTGTTTTACTTACGATCAGATAGTTACATGATAATATTGTAATAGTTTACTTATAACGTGAACCCGTCTAACAAAGATAATTAGTAAATTTTTAAAATACTCGTTTCAGAGACAAGAAAGAGGAGTCGACATCAATGGACCAATGACAAGAAAGCTCATGGGAAATCTCCACTTGGCTCTTCTTTTTTTGACCCCTTTCATGATAATTCATTCTTGTTATATAAAAAACAAGAGGTAAAATCCAATAATCTTCTTAAAAGAAGGATGATGATTCAACAAAAAAACAAAAGTTTAAGCGTTTTAGAAATTGTAGGGAAAAAACTGACCTAACAAGAACAAAACATATTAATAGTAATATAGATATAGTATCTAAAGAATCCAAGGAAAAGCTTACATTCAACCCTTTTTTAAAAAATGTGTGTTCCTCGAATGCACTAGCACAAGTGTGCAAGATATGGTTTTATTACATTGGCAAGAAAGCAAATACATAAAGAAAGATTTTTTTTTTTTTTTTGGTGCACAAAGAAAGATTATTTGTCTTGTTTAAAAAGGTAAAACATTTCATGAGTAAGAGAGCATTATGTTGAGAAAGACAAAAGTGTAGTTGAATTTTAGCTATCTATGCAATGGAAACTTACTTTGAAGTCAAAAAATATATCCATATAACCATAATGCTGACATAATCTTGTTTTCTTTAGATCTAAAATTTAATTATATGGGTAAGCATGTAACTTCATCAAAGTCTGCATTTCACTTTCTTTGTTCTTGAATTTGTTTTTCTCCACTTAACTGAAGCCTAACATAGTTTCCTATCAGTTTGATAGAAAGAAAATTTGTTTCCTATCAGTTTTCAACAATCAAGGTCCCTTTTAGTGTCTATAGAATTGATTATTTGGTTACAATAACTATCCATTAGAAACAGAACTTTACAAAGACAAAAATGCTATGAATCCCACAACAGAATACGTCTTATTGAACTAATAATATTTCTCTCTTGGCAATTGATCCACTAAATCTATATGACTATATGTACTATATAGATATCAATACACCAAAACTAATTAATATCCCCAAGAATACATATCTGCTCTATCAAAACAAAGACTCGTCATCTAGGAGCCATTTCTGTAACGCTCTGAAAAGAAATAACAGAGGCCGAGGAAGACCCTTGAGGAACAGCTGAGCATTTCCCTTTGTAACCTTGTGTTGATGAGCTCTCCTGTGAGCTGCTGCCTCTTAGACCGAGGCCGCGGTGGTTGCCTCCTCTGTTTACACCTCTGTAGACACCAGGCTCCGTTAAGGCGGCCTCGTTGATGTGAATCTCTTTCCTGCTAAGCATCTCCACCACTTGCTTCATGTTTGGTCTCTTCTGTGCTGCGGCTTGAGTGCAGAACAGAGCTACTTTGATGAACCGTATCACTTCGTCTTGGGGATAGTTGGTTAGATATGGATCCACACACTCTAGTAGCCTCCCTTCTTCTCTTAGCTTCCATACCTACCAAACCACATATTAACTAGAAACCGTTGATCACTTACTTTCAGATAGTTTTGGATAATTTGGGTTTTTCAAATACATTAGGACAGATTTTTAAATTATATATATATGGTTATTTATATGTAAATATAATCTGTATATATTCTACTAGTATATATTCGGTCCTCGGGTTGGTTTCAGTTCAGTTTGGATATAGATATTTATAAATTACTCGGGCAATTGGGTATTTAAAAATATTAATCCGGTTTTGGGTATTTCAGTTCGGTTCGATTCTTCGGATATATCATGTAAAATGTCTAGGCCTAGTCACCCCTTTAGGATGTTTTCATTGATATATGTAAGTGTGTTAAGGTATTAAAGTTTATAAGCTTTACCCATTCAACAAGAACCAGTAACTCGTCTGTAAAGGCAGCTCTGCTGCTACTACCACCACTTATGACTTCAAGCACAAGTATCCCAAAGCTGTAAACGTCTGCTTTTTTTGTTAACTGACCTAGAAGTGCGTATTCTGGGGCCAAGTATCCCCTGTAATCTCGATTTAATTAGCTGAACATATCTGTAGAGTAAAGATGGATTCGAGAAAAGATTCTTACACAGTTCCAGCTACTCTTGTACTGATGTGAGTGACATTGTCTGGAAAAAGCTTTGCCAGACCAAAATCTCCAATCTTGGGACAAAAGTTTCTGTCTAGTAAGATGTTACTAGCCTTGATGTCGCGGTGAACGACCTGTGGTTCGACTTCTTCGTGAAGGAAAGCTAAACCTGAAGCTGTCCCAACGCAAATGGCAGCTCTTTTGGACCAATCAAGGGGAACATACTTACTCCTCGAACCTAAAAGATCACTCAAACCACATCAGGAAAAAGACAGGAGACACGGTGTTGGACTTGGTAAACGAACTGTTACCAAGCAAAACACTAGCAAGACTGTTGTTCTCAAGGTATTCATAGACGAGAATCCGATTGTTCCCTTCGATGCAGCAGCCAATGAGGTTAACAAGGTTAGGATGATGAATGTTGGATATTAAGTTGATCTCGGTCAAGAACTCGCGTGTGCCTTGTTTAGATTCTGTTGAAAGTGATTTCACAGCTACTTGTGTCCCATCTCTCAATGTTCCCTGCAGAGGTTCACCAAGAACCATGTTGTTGCATGATTCACTAGAAACATCAAACGTAACATCTTTTCAAAACATTTCTGGTCACCTTGTGGACAACACCAAAGCCACCACCTCCGATCCTGGTAGATGGATGGAAATCATCTGTGGCTGATCTTAATGAGTTATATGAAAAGACTCTCACATTGTTGGTGCAAATCTCTGAATCGTATAAAGAATCAGTGATCATCAAATTCAAGAACCAATGTTTCTTAGCAAAAAAATATATCAAGAAAGTGACTAAATCTTATTGGTCAACCATTGTTCCAGATTCTTTAGGTAAAATTAATGATCACAGGCAAAAGAACTTGTACATACAGAAGTCAAAAACCTTAAAAAATAATCAAGAACTTGTATATCAGTACAAACGTATCTATGGAGTGGTTTATCTACCTTCAGCTTCTTTCTGACCAAGACGATCATTTCTTTTGCACATATCAAGAATTCCGAAGCAATTAGAGCGCATCACAAGATCCAAAAAGAGGATTTATACAAGAATCACTCCTGGATACAGATCATATCTGGATTTGAGAGAGAGAAATGAGAACTAAAACTTTCCTACAAGAACCTCAAATTTGACCTGTCTCCTCGATACAAACTTAATCTGGAAGAAGATTATGGGGTTTGTTTAAAAAATGTTTCAAAAAAAGTTATAGTGGGGAAAACTTCATTTGGCACAAGAAGACCAAAGAGTTTAATCAAAAAGAAATCATCATGAGTTTGTTTTATTTTTGGTGTTCAGCCCCTTTCGTGTGGATGTCAATAAATTATCTTCTTTTTTGTTTGGACAAAGTCAATAAATTATCTAAGTAACCAAACCCAACCAAACACAGACAGAACATATGAACAGTGAATAAGATAAAAGGTAGTTCTGCAATTTCTGTCCTAGTATTAATTTGTCATCTGCTGATTGCGACAGCCACAAGACGACGTGACTGATCTTAATGATTTTACTCTCGTGAAGTAATAAGTACTGCATGATGCATGATTTGTTATTTTATTATATTAACATCCGATTTATCAAATAAACTTTCATTTTCCTAAATGTGCTATTTATTATTTGGAACTCTAAATCATAAAAAGTATTTTCTTGCTTTCATTTACCTCAATGTGTATGATCTTGAATATCCCATTATATCAGTGTTATAAAAAAAAGTACCAATCCATTAATATGAATGAGATATTAATAATATATAAGAGACTTGGACCAATCCATTAATTGACAATTGGTTCAGAGTTGGAAGACCAAGAAACTTATTATTGTATCAAAACCGGCTAATATCCTCACTCATTAATCCGACCCGAACAATGGCCCGATCATCTCACGAATTGATGACCCAAGAAAGATTTAATTTCTTGGAGATAGCAAGAAAAAAAATATTATCTCAAAAGAGTACGATGGATTATGCGAAATTAATGGTTATATGCACTATTATTTTAAAGAAGGGTATTACGATAAAGATCTCATATTAGAAATATAAATAAGACATGAATAATCATATTATTTAAGCACGATAGTAAAATAACTCAAAACTTGTTCATTTTTGGTCAAATGTCATTTACAAAGTTTAATGAATTGTTGTTTAATTAACACTAGAACATCTTCGTTCTTGTTTCATTTCCACTCTATAGTTTTCAGTATTTTTTTTCTAATTTTACTATATTTTCAATTCCAAAATAGGATAAAAATAAATCTTACCGAAAATCCAAGACTGGTTTTAAAATTTTGGTCGATACAAGTAATCTAGTAAAAGATTTTAATAATGTTTAAAAAAGTAGAAATCTATATTTATATAAATTTATCTTATATTTTGGAAGTCATAGATAAATGTCAGAACAACCAAAGCGTTAGTAGCTTTGGCCATACATATTTTTAGGCCACCAGGACCTAGGGATGGGCATGGATCGGATATCCGGGTTTTTAAGGTATTTGTGATTTGCTTCGAATGTTACGGATATCTAATTTGGTATTTGCTTTGCTTCGGAAAAATATGGATATCCGGAAAAGCAGATATCCGAAAAATAAATAGATATTTGCGGATATTTACGGATATCTCATCCATTTTTATTAATACAAATAATCATAAAATTTTGGTACAAATTTGCTTTGCAAAAATATCTTTTTGCATGATATATAAAATAGAAATTAAAAGAACTGGTGAATTTACATATTTTGTAATTTTTAAGTTTAAGTCACAATTATAATAACACAAAAGTTAAGAAAAAAAATAAGTGTCATAATTTTTTTCTCTTTTTTATGTAATACTTTTATATAAGTAATAATGTGAATAGAATTTTTCAAAATCATGTGTTAGAATAATAATTATATAATTTTATACATTTAAAATTTAAATATAATCAAGATATACATATATTTATATATTTTCGGATAAGGTCGGATATCCGCTTCCTAAATTTTTAATATTTGTGATTTGCTTTGATTTTAACGGATATTGATTTTTAGTATTTACTTTGATTCAAAAGTTTTTGGATATTAATTTTCAGATCGAATCAAAACGAATAACGAATGGAATCAAATTTAACGGATGAAATGCCCAGCTCTACCAAGACCTACACATCTTTGAATGACCTTTACATTGCTAACTAATTTAAAATGTCCCATATTTTAAGAAATTTTGCAGAAGATTTTGCAGAAGACACTAAATTCATTAAATTATGCTAAGATCTTAGTGGAAAAATTAGTTACATCAAAAGTATTGGGGTTCTTCTGTATTCCTCGAAATAAATTCTTTTACCTTCATCTCACAAGAAGGAAACCGCGGAAGAGCGGTTAGAGGGCGATTGTGAGAGCGATCGTTTTCGCCATTTTTTCTTCTGCAATTCACATCATCTGCCAAATTCTTTTTCTCTTTAATCATTCTTGTTTTTTCATGGCTTCCACAACCCATCAACTCTCTTATATATTTTAGAAAATCCACAAAAGAATTTGTTTCATACAATTCCATTTACATCGAATGTTCATTACGGTGATTCTGTTTTGTGTATTGCATATACATACACTCTACGTAATGACATACTAGGATAAGACTTACGCCTTGCGCAAGGTGAATATATGTAATTAAAATATAAAATTTTAGTATTGACAAATTTAAAATTTACATATGATTGTTTTTGTATGTATTTGAAATTTAAGAATTTTGAAATTTTTATATAGTTATCTATACGTATGATAAGAAACAATTTTAGTTAGAAATGTAGATCAAATCTTAGAACTTAATGGATCTGATTTCATATATCTTTTCACTTTTCAGTGTTCGAGTGATGGAAAATAAATGGAGTGTCACTGGGGTTGATTGGTAGAGTATTAGCAAGTTCCCTAATGTTTTTTAAGAAGCAATTGGTAAAATATTTGCATTTAAAATATATAAAGTTTCAAAACTAATTTAATATAATTTATTTATCTGTCTATTAATATCAGAAAATTATATTTTTTTACAAATTATTATTTTTAAAAAAATATTTTAAGTTTTTCAAATACAAATAAACAATTTAAAATTAATTATAGTCATGATTTAACATAAGCATTATGATTTAAAAAAATTAAAAAGGTTAAAATTAACAAATTAAAAATTAACTCAGTTTTATATCATGATTTAAAAATTTAAAAATTAATTATGGTTATGAGAATTTTACGTTCACGTGTCAGTCCTATTTATCTTCCATTTTTCTCTTGCTATGTTTTTTTTTATATTTTGGTTATTACTCGATATAAATATTTATTTTGAATTTTATTCTCATTTCGTTTGTTTTAGAAAATACTTAAGATTTAAAATAATTAAAGAGATACATACTTAGGTTAAGATCTGCACTTAATGCACAATAAGTATTTTATATTTATTATTTATTTTATATATTTATGCATATTATAAATAATAAAATAATAAATATATATTAAATAATTAAGAAATCAGTTACTATTATGTAATAAATTGGCGTATGCATATAAATTTAACTATTACTCTTGTTTATTCACAATTAGGGTAAATAAATCAAAATAATCAATCTTATATATTGTATATGATATATAATTAAATTTAAATGATATAAACATANCAATTAGGGTAAATAAATCAAAATAATCAATCTTATATATTGTATATGATATATAATTAAATTTAAATGATATAAACATAGTAATATAACACATTTTTAATATGGATATTTATTAAATGAGGTTTCTACTCATATGATTTTATGATTATTTTCATATTTGTGTAACAAAACTTTACACCAACGAATATTTTTTAATGTGGGATGTTTAGTAGTTTCAATAATTTATAATCATTTTAAAAAAACAATGACATATTTCAAAATTAAAATATTAACTTTTCAATATACATTCAAGGCAAATATCAAAATATAAGTATGTATTTTCATATGATGTATAGTTTAATTAAAATGATATTAAATATATATCAACTAAAATTATTTCTTCATATGGTCTTATAATCATTATATTTTAGTATAGAAAAAAAAATTAAAACCTTGATCTTAAAAGTTTATGTGGGACTTTTAACAGTTTTAGTAATTTATACTCATTTTGAAAAATTCGAAATACAACATACACAAAAAAATCAAGAATTTTATTATATGATTACTGTAATTATGTTTTTTTTTTAATAATAAAGAAAGAAACAAAATGAAAAAAATATATAGATTGTTATCAAATCTTTATTGTTTAAAATCATTAATTGTCATATATATATTTTGATCACATTAGGTAATTCCGTAGGTTTTATTTAAGGAAAGTATGCGAAATAATAAATATTTGATATATGCGACCAACTATAGCCTACGGAATATTATATTGCTAGAGAATATAATTTTTAAACTATACATTATATCACATGCTCTAGAATCCTTGAGATTTGAAATAGAAGCCAAAGAGCTATGCCACGTAGGATTTGGGTTATTTTTAATTCTTACAAACTTAAGGTTACAATTTTTTAAATGATTTTCAAATAATATATAGGGGATGGGGTTCCTTTTTCAAAACAATTCCCATGTGTTTTTTTCATTCACAACAAATTGTGTGTTAATTATTTCTTCTCTCATTTTATTGTTGCGATCTCTAGCATGGTTTTCATGGCTATGACCGACGACAAGTTGAAGTCATATTTAAGTGGTAAGGAACTTATTCTTATTGCTTTACTTTGGAAACAATTGCCATGGAAACCACCATGGAAGGAGTATATTGGAAACAAGGAATTGAAATTTTCTTTGTTGTATGGCGATGTTTTTAGAATCGTTGAAGATTGGTCATTCCAACTTTTATTTCTTTCGATTAAATCAATATATATATATTGGATTCAATATCGATTGACATTTATAGATCCAAGTTGGAAGTTGACTAATGTTATACAACAAAGAAAATACAAAAGTAAAGTTTGGAGATTCATCGCAAACTCGATATCTAAGATTGCATCAAGAAGATTCAGAAGAAAGTTTCTTTTTCTTTTAGTTTTATGTATTGCAGTATTGTAATTTATTTTAAATTTGTATTTGGTTGTGTTTTTATTATTTTATGTGTAATGTTATATTTTATATAAATAAAACAGTTGTTAAAAAAAAAAAAATTCCGTTACCTTCCAGTTTCAAATTAAGGCGGGTATGCCACGCATCTCGACCAATAAGATTCCAGCAAGTAAAACCACTACTAACACGCGCCAGAATATAACGCGCTA